ACTAAATGGTTTTATTGGTTTGCTGCCTCAGATTTTCTTGGGATCAGTCACAGAAAATAATATGGTTAGAGTAAGAATAGTAATAGAACTGTTTTGGAATTTTCTACTTTGCTGGAGGCTTAAAATTTCCAGGGGAAGACTTAATAAATTGTGATTAATTTTCAGTCAGTTTCAGCTCTTTGTATAATTTCAGGTTCCCTTCTCCTACCCCTAGCCATGTGGCAGGACCATGCACATGTTCTTGGATCAACTTGCATATAGCTTGTGGGAATGGGGGTGGGAGTCCTTGGGATGTCAGGGTTTTGTGCCTGATCGTTGCATCTGATCACAGTACAGGTGAAGAGAGGCAGCCACTGTGGCTGTACCCCACCACCCCTGGATGAGGTATCTGTCAGGAAATGATAGTGGGCTGGGGACCTCTTTCCCCCGACATTAAAGAGTAGGACACTCAAACAATTTACATGAATGAGAAAATTAAAAAGTGACTGCGCATATTCAGGGAAGGGCTCAAAAAAAAATCGGAGAAAAATTTAAGTTTACAACTTCAGCTGATCCTTGGCAAAGAGCCAGAAAGTAAAAATAACAACAAAAAACAGTAAACCCCTGGTAAGGGGGATTTAAATGTCCAGGGTTCAACAACAGCAAAATCAAGACATACAAAGAAACAGGAAGGTGTGGACAGCATGTTGAAAGGAAAAATGAATTCAACAGAATCTGTCCATGAAAAAGATTTAACAGCAGATATATTAGGCAAAGACTTTAAAACAATTGTTAAAGTTGCTCAAAACAAAGATGCTCAAAGAACTAAAGGAAGATGTGGAGAAAGTCAAGAAAATAATGTGTGAACAAATGGAAATTGATGCGAAGACAGAAAACCACTTGTTACTGAGTGCTTACTATATTCCAGGCATTATTTTAGGGGCTAGAAATACAGTTCCCTGCTCTTTTTAAATGTCCATCTTGTGAGGAAAGTGAACAGTAAAGAGCTTAAACAAGTGAAAATATTCACTGTGAACAGGCCAAGGCAAAGAGTAGTGAGAGAGAGCAGTGCAATACTGCAGTGGAGAATGAGGGAGGGTCACTCACTCCACAGGGAGAGGTGAAACCTGGGTGATAAGCAAGAGGGATCTGTTTTCTTCCTTCTTATGCCTTTTCCCCCTTTATTCTAGCTCATGGATTTAAATACATACATACATGCATGGAATTGAGAATAAAAGAGAAAAATTAAGAAAACTAAAATTTGGTTCTTCAAAAAGATCAACAAAATTGATATTTAGCTAGATATACTTCAAAAAAAATCTCAAGTTAATGAAAGTGGGGACATTACTACCTATTATATAGAAATTAAAAGGATTATAAGAGTAATATGAGTGATTGTATGCTAAAAAATTAGATAACCCTGAAACATGCTGAGAAACAGAAAACTTGCCAAGACTAAATCATGAAGAAATAGAAAATCTAAATAGACCTATAACTAGTAAGGAGATTGAATCAGTAATCAAAAATCCAGTAAAGAAAAGCTCTGGAGCTGATTGCATCACTGGTGAATTCTACCAAACAGTTAAAGAATTAACACCAGTCCTTCTCAAACTTTAACCAAAATTGAAGGAGAGGGGACATTTCACAGCTCAGTCTATGAGGCCAGCATAACCCTGATACCAAAGCCAAAAAAGATAACTACAGACCAACATCCCTTATAAACATCAATGCAAAAATCCCCAACAAAATACAGAATTCAGCAGCATATTAAAAAGAAAACAAATACAAAACTAGACACCATGACCAAGTGGGATTTATTCCTGGAATGCAAGGATGGTTCAACATACAACAACCAATCAATGTAATATGCCCTGTCAAAAAAATAAAGGGAAAAAAAACCCAGTAACCTCAATTGATGCAGAAGCACATGAAAAATTAAGCATCTCTTTGTGATTAAAAAAAAAAAAAAACAGTTCTGCCAAATAGAAACTCCCTTTCACACAAAAGCTATATGTGAAAAACCTGCAGGAAACTTAATACTCAACAATGAAAGACTGAAAGCCTTTCCTCCAAGATCAGGAACAAGGCAAGTATGCACACTGTCACCACGCTGATTCAACACAGTAGTGGGAGTTCTAGCCAAAGCAATTGGATATCACCATGCTTTCTCTATCCATTCATTTGTGGATAGATGTTGAAGTTGTTTCCACATCTTGGCTATTGTGAATGGTGCCACACTGAACACTAGAGTGCTAATCTTTGAGATCCCAAATTCAGTTCTTTTGGATAAATACCCAGAAGTGAGACTGCTGGATCATACCGTAGTCCTATGTTAATTTTTTGAGGAATCTATATTGTTTTCCATAGCAGGTGCACCATTTGGATTCCCACTAACAGAGCACACAGGTTCCAATTTCTTCACATCCATGATAACAGCCATCCTAGCACGTGTGAGGTGATACCTCACTGTGGTTTTGATTTACATTTCCCTGATGGTTAGTGATGTAGGGCATCTTTTAAAATACCTGTTGGCCAGCTATGTCGTCTTTGGGAAAGTGTCTGTTCAAGTCTTTAGCACAGTTTTAAATTGAATTATTCTTTTAATTTTTTTGCTATTGAGTTGTAGGAATTTCTTATATACTATGGGAATTACCCTCATCTGATATGTGGTTTGCATAGACCTTTTTTTTTTTTTTTGCATAGACTTAAAAATACAGTTCTTTAGAGCAGTTTTAAGTTCACAGCAAAATTGAGGGGAAGGTACAGAGCTCCCACATACCCCTGACCCAAGACATGCATTTGTTACAATTAAAAAACCTATACTAAAAAACAAAACAAAAAACCTACACTGACAGTTTGCATAGATTTTAGTAAATACTTTGTATTTATGGAGTCGGTTTACTCATTGTCATATTTTTCCTTTTTCTTTAATTCTTTGAGGATGTTTGTAAGAGTCATTTTGAAGTCCCTTCCTACTAAATTCAACTTCGGAGTCCACTCGAATCAGTTCCTATTGGCTTCTGTTTTCCTGCATGCGTGTCACACTTTCCTCTTTCTTTGCATGTTGGTAAGCTGAGTGACTGAACTGAACTGAAGCTCTGATTGAAAAACGGGCATTTTTGATAACAGTGCAGCAACTCTGGATTTTATTTTGTTTTTCTGAGGTTGCTGTCCTTTGGAAACTTAGCTGGACTTAAACTCCAGCATCTCTTCCCCTGCAGTGAGCAGCCCCTGGTGTGTCTGCTAAGCTTTTTATTTTCATCTGTTTGTAGCAGGCAACTCTGAGTCTTTCGAATGTAGGAGTCACTGGTGATTTTGGTTTAACCCAGATACTTGGAGCCTGCAGGCCCCTGCTGATCTGTCCATGGGTGTGTGGGACACTCTCAAGCCTCCGTTGCTTTCACTTCTCCCTGTGCTTTTGTGGGTCATTCCCCCTCGTACGCTGCTCCTCAGTCAGCCAGGGCTGCGTGGAGACCATGGCTTGGCCCTTTCATGGTCCTCTGCAGGGTGTCTGTCAGACTTTTAATTCACCTGCTGCTTGCCCCGACATGGACTGCAAGCTTGGGCTGGTGAGGCTGTGTGTTTTCACAGTTCATTGACAACCGAGTCCACCATTTTTCGCCAGTAGAACTGTATGTTTCTGCAGCCAATCACAACATAACTGAAGTCCATCTGTGTTGTAGTAGTGTGTATCAATGGTTTCTTTCTTTTTATTGCTAAATAGTATTCTGTCGCATTGATATGCAAACATTTATCTGTTGAGGGACATTAGAGTTATTACAAGCAAGACTGCTGTGAACATTTGTGTCCAAGTCTTTGTGTAGGATGTGTTTGTGTGGGATGCACGGGATGGCTGCACCAGATGGAAGGTGTGTGCTTCACATTTTTTTTCTTTTTTTGCTTCACATTTTAAATAAACTTTTAATTCAGAATAACTTTAGATTTCCTGAGTTTCAAAGATGGCACAGAGTTCCGTTTACCCCTCAACTCAGTTTCCCTTCCTCCTAGCCTCTTCCTTTACTTTCATTCCTCAACGTGAAGGAACTGACATCTGTACATTATTATTTTTTTTTTACATCGGTACATTATTATTAACTAAATAATATTTAGTTAATTTGATTATTTTGATTTCACCAGCTTTTCCACAAATGTCATGTTTCTGTGTCCGGATCCAGTGCAGGGCACGCAGGTGTGAGGTCTCCCCAGTCTGCGCTGGCCTGTGACAGCGCCCTAGCTGGCTCTTTCTTTCGTGCCCTTGGCCGACCTGAACAACATTGGCCAGGTGTCTCGTGAGAAGTGAAAGCAGTCCTCTAACCTGGGCTTCCATGGGTTTTTCCTTCTGAATGGACCCGGTCACAGCTTCGGGAAAGATGGTCAAGTCTCTCGGGCACTCATACGTGACCCTTCTGCCCATTTTCCGCGTGTGAGGGTCACTGCCCTTGTTCTGCAGAGGGCGCCCCCAACAACCCCCAGCCCCGGGCAGCATCCTCAGGACAAGCATCCACGGATCACGAGGGATTCTTCGGTTGGGCGGAACAGTTCCTCTTTCCTTGCTCATTCACTCCACCATAGAGGACGCACATTTATACCTCGGGTACAAGCCAGTTCTGCATTATTTACGCAGCCCTCGCATTGTTCCAGTTTGGACCTTTGTGGGTTCTCCGCCACTGCCACTGGCATCCCTCAGGGCCAGGTGCGCAGGCGGATGTCACGGACTATGCAGACGCACGTGGGCGGCGGGTGGTGTGCGGTGCGGGTGCGGGCGCAGGCGCACTGGGAGGCAGGCGGTGACATCGCAGGCAGGCGCAGTTGGTGGCGAGCTCACATCGCAGCAGGCGGGAGCAGGTGCGCAGCCGGCTCAAGGCTACGGTGGGCGGTGGGCGGCCGGCGATGAACGAGCACGCAGGCGCAGTTGGCGGTGGGTACACGTGACCTGCTGGCGTGCAGGCGCAATGGGCGGCTGGCGTACGTGCGTAGCAGGCACGCAGGCGCAGGGTGCGGCGAGCGCACGTGGCACGTGGGGCCTAGGTAGCTGCCGACGCCATGCGGCCGTTACGCTGGCAGGTGGCTGTGGTGGCGGCTGCTGGCCTCGCGCTGGCCTTGGAGACGCTGCCCGCCGTGTTCCGCTGGCTGTGGGTCAGGCGGCGGCGGCCGCGGCGCGAGGTGCTGTTTTTCCCATCGCAAGTGACCTGCACAGAAGCCCTGCTGCGGTCCCCGGGTGACGCACCCTCGGGCTGCCCGTGTAGCCTGCCCCACGGCGAGAGCTCACTGAGCCGGCTGCTGAGCGCCCTGCTGGCCGCCCGCGCCAGTCTGGAGCTCTGCCTGTTCGCCTTCTCCAGCCCGCAGCTGGGCCGCGCCGTGCAGCTGCTGCACCAGCGCGGGGTGCGTGTCCGCGTGGTCACCGACTGCGACTACATGGCCCTCAACGGCTCGCAGATTGGCCTGCTCCGCAAGGCAGGTAGGCCAGGCACTGGGCCGCAGGAGGTGGAGGCAGGAAGGCAGGGCGCTTGGGGCAGCCTCAGAGGACTGGGGAGACACTCGTGTCCCTTGGCAGCCGTGCAGGGTCTGGGGAAAGTCCAGGGTGTCTAGAGGAGCTTTTGTGCAGAGTGTTAGCCCGAAACCTGGGCCCCAGAGGGGCCGAGGCTGGAAGCAGGTCGGCAAGCAAAGCCTGTCAGGGACCCAGAAGTCTGTTCGGGGCACAGGTGCCCAGAGATGCAGTGTCGGCTTAAGGACCAAACAGAGGAGAAAGTGTTTTCTCTTAAATTCACTAGTGAGTGCTTTTGGGGCATCTGAAATGAATACTTAAAATAAGGTAAGACGTGGAGCTGAAATGGTTAGTTAAGTGAGCAAGTAATTTGTTTCTTCAGCTGCCAAATGGCAGGGAAGTCACGTCTCTGGCGGACCTGCCCCTCACTGGAGTGGTAACCGTGAACCATGGCGTGTGAGTAATTGTGAAGATGTTCTAAGTTCACACCTGCCTTACTTGGAAACTCCTCCGCCTGCCCCGGTGTGATGCTGTGTCCTGCACAAGCGATTCGGAGTCTGAACCTCTTGCCTTTCTCTCGGTCACTGAGGCCCCTGCAAAGTCATTCTTGCATTAGCAACTATTTGAGCTGCCTTTTCTGGTGGCCACTGTGACAGGCACGTGGGGCCCTTGAAAACTGTCCTGGCTGCTCTCAGGTCACCTGGGATGGGAACACAGGTGCATCCTACCCTGGTCTTCGCATCTGTGTGGGGCGGGATGCAGACTTGGTTTCAGTGTTGAGGACGTTGACTTCTGCTCTTCCTGGCAGCCTTGCGATCCTATGTTGGTTCTGTTGTCGGGGAAACTTGGCTGTTTCAGCACAGCCATTTTCTTGTAGAGAACTGTAGGACCTCAGATTTGGCAAGAACCTTGAAGGGGGCCCACGACCAGATTCCAGCTAAACATTGACTCTCTTCTGAGGGCGTCCCTGTGGTTGTTCTCTCACCGCTCAGCCGTCTCCTTGTGTTTGACCGGACAGGTTTCAGGCTCTGGATCCACAAGTGCAGAACAGGACAGTAGGGCAGGGAAGTCTGGTGGAGCAGGAGCCCTGGAGGTGCCTGGGAGGGTCATGGGTGGGGGCGCAGACAGCTGCTCTGAGGAGTCACCTGTGTGAGGGCCTGTTTTGTGGTGCGAGGAGCAACAGGCAACCCTGTGACTGAGGTGCGCACGTTGAGGTGGGCACATGAGGGGCCCTGAGCCTCAGCAGGAGGGGAGGCCACGTCAGCTGGGTGGTCACGGGGCCAAAACTGAGGCTTCAGGTCTGGGGCCTGGTGTCTTCTGCACGCCCCCCCCCCCAGGCTGGTCCCCCAACTTCACAAGGTCCTGATTACAGGAGGGATCTGATTCTGGGCCCAAGTGAGACCTTAGGGGCATATGAACCCGAGATCAAATGGGTTTTGCTTCAATCGCCGCTGGCTTGTCTTGCAACCAGCAACTGGAGGGTGATGTGTGTCATATACGCTGGAGTGGGTGGGGAGCCTCCCCCAGTCAGGGCTGGAGGTGTTTCCGGAGGAACTAACTCTCCTGTCCCTGCTGCCGGCCAGCCCTCCGCCTGGCTCAGCCGCTGTCACCACCCAGACCTGACGGTGCCCACCACACTGGACAAAAGCAGCAGTCAGTCCTGTGAACACAGCCACACTGGAGAAGAAGCCAGAACTCAAGTGATGGACAGTGAGAGGAGGGGCTGGAGAAGTAGCAAGGGGCTCCAGTGTGGGGGCAACCGGAGCCCCTGCCTGGCCAGCAGCTGTCGGTGGCCGGGCAGCAGTGACATCTCGCTCTTTGCAGGGATCCAGGTCCGGCACGACCAAGACCTGGGCTACATGCACCACAAGTTCGCCATCGTGGACAGGAAGGTGCTGATCACTGGCTCCCTCAACTGGACCACGCAGGCCATTCAGAACAACAGGGAGAACGTGCTCATCATGGAGGACGAGGAGTACGTGCGGCTCTTCCTGGAAGAGTTCGAGCGCATCTGGGAGGAGTTCAACCCCACCCGGTTCACCTTCTTCCCTCAGAAGGAGAGGGCTCGCTGAGGCAGGCTCCAGGCCAGCGGCCCCCAAGCTGGAGTCCTGCTGAGCTCCATGCGAGGAAGGGTGGTTCTCTTGCATTAAGTAGTGACGTTCCTTAGAGCGCGGGCTTAGCAAGGACAGAGACTGTCCTGCAGTGGAAGGGAGATGCTTCGGACTGGGTGCCTCCATCAGGATTGGAGAGGCTGCAGATCCAAGTCCCTTTCCTGATTCTGAGGCCTCCAGAGTCCCCCAACACTCCCTTGCCCCCCTCCCCACACTCCCTTGCCCTCCCCTGCATCCAGCCTTCAGAACCTGGATGGCTAGTGTCCAGAAGCTGCTCCTGTTTGCACATGTTGGATTGTAATTTTTGATGTTCTTACATTCCGGGGAATTTGGTTGTCTGTGGAGACTTGACCTTCACCATGACACCTGAGGCCGTGCTCAGTATCCCTGAGGCACGGTGGGTCCTAGGGGTGGCCTCACTGGGCTGTCCTGATTTCTGGCATGGATGTGACATCTTTGAAGTGTCGTTCCCCCCACCCCCCACCAAGGTAATGTGTTTCTCTCGATTTAAAGTTACCTTTGACTTAGGATGTTGGACAGGTAAACCCAGACAGAACTCAGCTGAAGTTGTAAAGTGTGGTTCTTGGGTTGGAAGTCATGTGGCTTCACAGTGACAGTGCTCCTCCCGTGAGCTGGGTCCCCCCTGAATAAACTTGCTCCTGTTCCTGTCCAGTTGCGTGTGTGTCTGCCTTTTCATGCAAATAGTGGCTTTGCGGGGTGGGGACAGCATCCAGCTATTTAGAAACCATTGGCCACGATAGGAGTCTCCCAGAGAGGTGTGAAGACCTGGGGTGTTCTTGGAGGACCCCACTGTCTCCCAGAGAGGAGTGAAGACTTGGGGGACCCTGGTGTCTTCTGAGCAGCTGAGCTGACTCCCAGCCATGCTCGTCGGTGCCCGTCTGGCCCATGGGGCTCAGCGCCCCCCGCCCCCTGTCCGCAGGGCTTGCTTCCAGAAGCGCCAGCCACCCAAGACCAGCCCACCTACAAGGCTGCTGTTGAGAAATTTGTGAAATAGTTTCATCCCATGTAATGTTTTATTTCATTTAATTTGATTTATATTGTTTTCATTATAGTTATCTTTGTGGTGGGAGTTTGAACCTGACGTAAGTTTCAGGTAACAGGCATTCTGTTCTGAGGGCCTGAGGAGGTGAGCACTGACATCAGCCTGCAGGGTGGAGCCTGTCTGTCCCTGCTGAGGGTGGGCGACTGCCTGAGGTGACCAGAGCCCCGCTCTGACGGGAGAGGTGTGAGGAGGGGCAGCTGGGTCACAGCAGGGCTTGGGCCGAGCCCAGACTGTCCAGTCCTCCCAACGAGCTGGTGGGGATTGCCGCTGAGGCCGCGGGAGGTCCCGGGCTTCCAGCTGGTGAGGGTGGGTGTGCTCTTGGCACAGAAGGCAGTCCAGGCCGAGTCTGGGGCTTTGTACTGGGTGGCAGCTGTCTGGGCGCGTCCAGAGCTGCGCAGGCGCACTAAGGAGACCCTGGAAGTGTAACTGATGTGCCTCAGGGCAGTAACCGGAGGGCAAGAAGCTGGGAGGGGGCTTGTGTAGCGTGTGTCCGAAGCTACGTGCTTTGTCCGCCAGATTCTGGCATGAACAGGACCTTTACAGGAAGTGGTCAACTCCAGGAGGCTTGGCAGTTACTCCCTAAGAGGACTCGAGGTGGCCCCTCTTACTGACCCCCACCTCTGCCCCACAGCCTCTCGTTCAGCCTGTGGTTTGGGTTTAAGCTTGTCATTTTAACCATGGGACAGGGATGCAGCCTAACAGTATAGGTGGAATGTTGGCACTGTACACGAGATATTTTAACTCTTGAGAAACTTGTGATAAAGAAATCGTCCTGGTAGTAATAGTGTGGCTGTCAGTCCCCCTGTACCTGTCAAATTCAGGAGAACGTTGGGACGAAACCACACAGCTACATTGCTTGTGCTGACCTGCTTTTTTAAAATAGTTTTTTAATGCATTTTTGGCTGTGGTAGGACTTTGTTGCTGCGAGGGCTTCTCTGAATTGTGTGGAGCCGGGGGTTCCCCTTCTCATTGCGGAGCGTGAGCTCTGGGTGTGCGGGCTTCAGTAGTTTGGGGGCACAGGTTTAGTTGCCCCTCTTTACCACTACACCACCAGGGAAGCCCCTGAATTGGTTTTTAAAGCAACTGACTACTTTAAAAATAACACTTCATTGAGATTCACATACCATAAAATTCACTGTTTTAAAAGTGTGCAGTTGAGTGTACTGATAGTATATTAACAGATTATTAGTTGTCAGTATGTTAACCGAGTTATTTGGTGGTTATTTACTACAATAACAGGGTTGTGCAGCCATCAGTACCATCAATTTTCAGAGCATTTTCTTCACTCCAGAAAGAAACCCTGTTTCTGTGGGTTTATGTGCTGTGGGTGTTTTGTATAATGGAATCCTACAACACGCGGTCTCAGTGTGATCTCAGGGTGTCCCTCCTTTGCCTAAGTGTGGTGTTTTTGAGGGCCATCCATGTTGTAGCGGGTGTCAGTATTTTTTTACTTCTTTTTACAGCTGAATAATAAGTCACTGTATGGACAGATCACATTGTGTTTACCTGTTTATCAATTGATGGACTTTGGGGTTGTCTCTACCTTTTGCCTGTTGTAAATATAATGCTATAAACATGCACATACAAGTGTTTGTAAATGTGGTGCTATAAACGCTCACATACAAATGTTTGTGTGGACATGTTCTTGAGACTCTTGAGTATATACCTAGGAGTGGAGTTGTTGGGTCATAAAACTCTATCTAACCATTTTATAAACTGCCAGATGGTTTTCCAAAGCAATTGGACCATTTTATATTCCCACCAGCAGGTATAAGGATTCCTTTTTCTCTACATCATTACCAGCAAAAAGCTATTATTTGACTTTTTTTAAAGTTAGTTTTTAAAATGGAGGTTGAGGTACAATATTATGTAAGTTTTAGGCATACAACAGTGATTCATAATATTTGAAGGTTATAGTCCATTTAGAGTTATAAAATACTGACTATATGTTGTATTAAATATGCTTGTAACTTACTTTGTATATTGAAGTTTGTACCTCTTAATTCACTACTCTTAACCTCACCCCTCCCCCTCCTAGCTCCCCGCTGATAACCCCTAGTTTGTTCTCTATATCTGAGTCTCTTCCTTTTTATTTATTTTTTTCTCTTCCTTTTTTGTTGTTTACTAGTCTCTCTTATTTTTTTAGATTCCACATGTGATACCATACACTATTTGTCTTTCTCTGACTTGGCTTAGCATGATACCCTCCAAGTCCATGCATGTTTTTGCAAATGGCATTATTTCTTTTTTTTTCTTTTAAATAGTAGTATTCATTTTTTTAATAGTAGTATGCCTTTGTATGTGTGTACCAGAACTTTATCTGTTCATCTATGACGTACACTTAGGTTGCTTCCAGTTTCTGGCTATTGTAAATAGTGCAGCTGTGAACATCGGGGTGCATATATCTTTCCTAATCAGTGTTTTCATTTGCTTTGAATATATGCCCACAAGTAGAATCACTGGGTCATATGGTAATATTTAATTTGAGAAACCTCATACAGTTTTCTGTAGTGGCTGCACCAGTTCACACTCCCACCAGTGGTGCAGGAGAGTTTTCTTTATCCCACATCCTCTCCAGCATGTGTTATTTGTAGTCTTTTTGGTGATGGCCCTTCTGACAGGTGTGAGGAGTGAAGAAAATGCTCTGAAAATTGATGGTACTGATGGCTGCACAATCCTGTTATTGTAGTAAATAACCACCAAATAACTCAGTTAACATACTGACAACTAATAATCTGTTAATATACTATCAGTACACTCAACTGCACACTTTTAAAACAGTGAATTTTATGGTATGTGAGTCTCGATGAAGTGTTATTTTTAAAGTAGTCAGTTGCTTTAAAAACCAATTCAGAGGCTTCCCTGGTAGCCCAGTGGTAAAATCTCATTGTGATTTTAATCTGTGTTTCCCCTGATGATTAATGATGTTGAGCATCTACAAATGGGCCAGTTGACCATCTGTATATTTCATTTATAAAGAATTTCTATTCAGGTCTTCTCCCCATTTTTAAATTGGGTGGTTTGTTTTTTTGATGTCAAGTTGTATGAACTGTTTATATATTTTGAATATTAACTGATATGATATCAGTCATATCATTTGCAGATATTTTCTCCCATTCAGTAGCTTGTCTTTTTGTTGGTGGTTTCCTTTGCTTTGCAGGTTTTAAATTTGATTAGGTCTTATTTGTTTGTATTTGCTTTTATTTTCTTTGCTTTAGAGACATCAAAAAAATATTGCTATAATTTAGGTTAAAGACTATTCTACCTATATTTTCTTTTAGTTAAATGGTTTCTGGTCTTACATTTAGGTCTTAAATCCATTATTTTAAAATGAAAGTATAGTTGATTTACAATGTTGTGTTAGTTTCAAGTGTACATCAAAGTGATTCAGTTGTGTGTGTATATATATGTGTATATCCATACATATATGTTGCTAACCTTTTCAGATTCTTTTCCGTAAGAGGTTATTACAAGATACTGAATGTAGTTACCTGTATTATAAGTCACTTTTAAAAAATCTATTTTACATACACTAGTGTTTGTTAATCCCGAATTCCTAATTTATACCCCCTTTAGTAACCAAGTTTGTTTTCTATGTCTCTGAGTCTGTTTTTGTTTTGTAAATGAGTACATTTGTATTTTTTTTTAGAGTCTACATAGAAGTAATGTATTTGTCTGTCTCTGACTTATTTCACTTAGCATGATAATCTCTAGGTCCATCCATGTTGCTGCAAATGGCATTATTTCATTATTTTTTATGGCTGAGTAAGATTCTATTGTTTATATGTACTGCCGCCTCTTTATCATCTGTTGATGGGCATTTATGTTGCTTCCATATCTTGGCTGTTTAAATAGTGCTGCTGTGAACACTGGGGTGTGTTATCTTTCTGAATTAAGAGTTTTTGTCTTTTCCACACACATGCCCAGGAGTGTGACTGTAGGATTCTATGATATCTGTGTGTGTGTGATATTTGAGAAACCGTCACACTGTCCTCAGTAGCGGCTGCACCAGGTTACGTTCCCACCGACAATGTAGGAAGGTTCTCTTTTCTCCACACCATCTCTAATAGGCCCTTATTCCATTTTGAGTTGATTGTTGTGTATGGTGTGAGAAAATGTCCTGGTTTCTTTCTTTTGCATGAGGCTGCCATTTTTCTAGCAACTATCTGACTTTACCATCACCAGCCTGTTGGGTGTGAGGTGCTGCCTTCTTGTGGTTTTACCTTATATTTCCTGAAGGACTGGTAACGTTGAGTTCTGTTCATATATTTTTTCACCTTTTATATAGTCTTTGGAGAAACGTCTATTCAAATCCTTTACCCATTAAAAAAAAGGTTGTGTTGCCTGTTTATTGTTGGCATTGTGAGAGCCTTTGTATATTCTGTGTTGGTCCCTTATCAGAAGTGTGACTTGCAGGTGTTCCCTCCCACCTGTGGGTAGTCTGCTTGCGTTCTTGGTGGTATTGTTTGCAGTGTGTGTTATTTATTTTGGTATGGTTCAGTTTATCTATTTTTACTTTTCCTGTTTGTGCTTTGGTGTCTTAACTAAGAAATCACTGCCCAGCCATGCATCACAAATGTTTGCTTTTTTCTCTGAAAGGCTTATATTCAGGTCTGTGAAACATTGGGGTTAATTTTTGTATGTGCTGGGATGTAGGGCAGTGGTCCCCAACCATTTTGGAAGCGGGGACTGGTTTCGTGGATAGTTTCTCCGTGGCAGGGTGAGGTATGGTCCAGGCGGTGGCTGGAGCCACAGGGTGCAGTCGGTGGAGCTTTCCTTGCTCTCCTGCCGCTGACCTCCTGCTCTGCACCCGGGGCCTGGGGAACCCTGACTTAGGGGGTTTGCCTTTTCTTTTTCCGGTGGGGTAGCAGCACTGTTTGCTGAAGAGGCTGTTTTCTCCCCACTGAATGGTCTTGACGTCTTTGTTGAAATCCATTGACTCTAAATGTAGGGGCTTATTTCTGGACCCTTGGTTCTGTCCAATTATCTGTATGTCGGTCCTCATGCCGGTACCACACCATCTTGATTCTGGAAGCCTTGCAATTGTCCTGGGACCCAGTAGAAAGAGTCCTCTGCTTCATTTGTCTTCCCCAGCGTTATTCTGGGCCGTTGTGCATTTCTACAGGAACCTTGGGCCAGCTGGTCAACTTGACCAAGGCAGCTGGGATTTGTAGGGGTTGCCTTGAATTGTAGATGAAACTGGAGAGTACTGCTCATCTAACAATATTGCATCTTCCAACTCATGAACAAGGGACACCTTTCTATTTAAGTCTTTTAAAATTTCTTTCAATAAGGTTTCACAGTTTTCAGTATACAAGTCTTACACTTTAGAAAAATGTATCCATTTCAGATTGTTAGTAGTGTAGAGCAGTCAGTTGGTTTTTGTATATGATCCTTGGATCCTGCACACTTGCTGAGCTCATTTTTAATGTTTTAATGATTTTTTGGTGGATTCCTTTGATTTCCTGTACATGGGTCCTGCCATGTGCAGGTGGAGGTAGACTTCCTGTCCTTCCGCGCGGCCGCCTCTCCTCCTCCTGAGCTCTGGCTGGTCTCCAGTGCAGTGGGCAGAGGGGCGAGAACACACATCCTTGTCTTGCTCCCAGGCACAGGGGCGCTTTCAGTCTTACGGTCGAGTGTGATGGCAACGGGGTTTTTCATAGCTGTCCTGAAATATTGAGGGTGCGCTCTTCTGTGCCTCATTTGTTGATTGTCTTTATCACTTTCCCAATTGCCAACTGATACATTGCTTTAAAATACAGCGTGTGTTAAAGCTGAACACCACAGTATCAGATCAGTGTCCCAAAGCCATATGTACATTTGTTTGACCAGAATAATTTTTTAAATGGGTAAAAATACTACTGAAACATCTTGTCAACAGTTGGACCAGTACTGGAAAGTTTGCATCTCAAGTTTACTTTCGTTACCTTTTACAGATACCACAGTTGATTTCTAATAGTCAAACTTCAGTTTCTCTTTAGCTGAGTGAAAGTTTGGATCCCCATATTTTCACACATTTTATTCCAACAGCGATAGTATTGCTGGCAGTGGGGGTGGCGGAGGCAGTTTCTTATTTTAAATTTATATAGCAGGTCACAGCCAGAATTTTAAAAATGCAGTGGGATAGACTTCAGAGTATGTCTCAGAAAGGGCAGATTCTTCTGTGAACTCATGGTTGTGGCTGGGTGTGCGCGCCTACTAGCTCATAATGTAGGATATGTGTTTTTTTAAACAAAGTAAAGCTGTTGCAAATAAATCTGCTAGTAAAGGGGCAGGTATGGGGCAGTTAGTTCCTTCTGGTTGGTATTTCTTTCCATCCTTTTGGCCCCTTGAAAGTTTCCATAACTAAGCCCAGTGTGTCTTAATTAGATTATGGATGTAAAATATTTTTAACTATTTACTGTGTGTGAACATGTGAAATCTCCTGATTTTAAAATGTTGACAACTCACCCAAAACTTAAAAAATGGGTTTTGTAAAAATTAAACCAAAACTCCATTATAAACCTCTAGGTTCCTGATCCAGATTCTGACTTTTGACCTAAATGCTTGTTTTGCCTTCTGTGCTTCTGTTAAACAAAACCTCTGTTCACAGCATACAAAGGGTGATGCAAAAATAGTTTATTAGGACATTGTTTATGTAAAGTTAGGTAATATTTACAGTAGAAATGATCAGCTACATCCATGGGAATCTAGCATGTCACACAAAGGAATAAATATTTTGACAAAGTAACACTTCAGTTGTAGCGAACACTTGAGCAGGAATTTTGTTTTTAAAAAAGAGCCTCTAACTAAACTAAGCAGTAAAAGTTTTGAATTGTCAGCAGCAAGCTGACCAGGCTCTTCTCTTCCTGGGGCCCCTGCTGCCCTCATGAGGGTTGGGCACCCAAGGGTGGGCTCTCGGGGTCTGAGGGCAGCCCAGTCTGGTGAGCACTGTCTTTTAGCATCAGCACAGAGCAATGCAGGCTTGTTCTCTGAGCACGTGCCCCGTGAATGAACAGCCGGTGGGGGTAGGCATGGTTGCCGCCAGGGCCCACCCATAGATGTGTTGCAGCAGCGGCCGCTGTCTCTGTGTCCCCATTCTGTCTAGGGACTGCCTGGGCCCAGCAGTCAGGCACAGCATGTGTTGTCTCGAGTCTGGATTGAGACAGTCACCCTGATAGAAGTGTATCTCTGAGGATTCTAATTGTTAAGGAGCCACTTAGAACCTTACATTTTATAAATACTACTTAGGAAAACTCTTATCACTTAACTGGTTTTGAATCCTAACAGTCAGTAGATATGTTGCCATTACTAAGGTTAAATCCTAAAATCAATTGGCTGTGATACAAACATAACACAAGAATGAGTTTTGTGTTCTTTGTACTCTGTTCCCAGCTTCCTATGAAATAAAACGCAGATGTGTGTCCCAGCTAGCTGTGGAGAGGTGAGGGTGGATGGCAGGGACATCTGATGGACAGGCAGCATGGCAGGAGGCTCAGCCTGCAGGTCCACGTGGTGAAGGGACGTCAGTGTGAAGCAGCCACACCAAGCCCAGAGCCCGTGGTCTCCACGTGGCCGCAGTGCCCTGACACAGACCCTGATGTAGGCTGCCGGCACGGCCTGGGCTACCGTGCACGCAGCCTGGGCAAAGAGGAGTGCTCCTGCGTCATCCTCCTGGTTTTCCCTCAAGACTGAGTGACTTTCTCAAGAACGAGGAACAGGTATTACCAAGATCTTTCAGGGAGAAAGAACCACCTATTAAATGACTCAGGCTTTATAAAAAATAGGTCAGTCACTAAAAATGTCTCCTCATGTTGGTTGGAACTGTGTCGTACCCAAGCTGTTTCTTCTTGTCTTAAAAAGCGGTGCATATATAAGGAGAAAGAAAAATCCACCCACACAGACTTTGTCACAGAAATCCATTGCAGTGATTCTGAGCACTGTTGACACTGCTTGCTCTGCATGACGTCCCAATTGTTCTCCACGCAGAGGAGCAGGGAGCCACCTGCTCCTGGAGGGGCGGGTGCCTGTGTGTTGGGGCCACCATCTGCTCAGGGAAGGGGAGGCCTTCTCTTTACAGAGAAACCTGCTGTTCTCGAGGGACTGACGGAGTTCACACCCCTCCTGGGTTTCCATCCCATCTTCTATCAGAGTACCGAAACATGTGGTTTCAGAGACCTCCCTTCAGGCTGTGGAGGGTAGAGCCTGGCAACAGTGTGTACGTGTGAAGACAGAAGGGCAACCCCGTGCCCCGAGAGGATGGCAGGCCCGCTGCAGCGGGGAGTGTCCCAGGCGCCCTGTGCTCGGGGCCGCTGGGTGGGCGCAGCGAGGTGGCGGTCCCTTTGTAGGACAGTGGCCCTGTGGATGTTGGCCTCGGCTTGCTCAGGCAGACCCTGAGAGTCACAAGTGCGCTTTTGTACAAACCGCTGCTCCCGCTCTTCGTAGGTCTGGATGCTGTGAGTGACAGGCTCCAGGGCTGTGGCCCAGGGCTGGGTCTTCCCGCGTTCTTTTCCTCCCACCTGCTGAGCCCCTGCTCGGTCTCGCAGCATGGCCATCGCTAACCCCCCACAAAGCCACACTGGTTCTGACGCCCAATGGCACAAGCCTGAGGGTCACACTGCAGCTAGCACGGTCACCCAGAACGCTGGCTTTCAGCCCTGCCCGGGGCTGGCGGAGTGCACGACCGGAGGGGGCACGAGCCTGGCACTCGTGCTGAAGGTACACAGGCGCACAGCACGGTCACGTGACGCCACACCGTCCAGCTGTCCCCTTGGCGGGTGGTGTGGCTCAGATGCAGGTGCCTGCAGGTCCCCAGGGAAGGAGTGAACATTTATAGGAAGAGTCAACGGAGTGGTCTCCTCCCATCCTTGGGGACATGGGGGCGCTTTCCCCGTGGGGTGGGGGCCGGAGCTCCCTAGGCTTGGGGTCACCCGTGCCTCCCTGTCCACAGCCCCCCAGGGTGCCCGTTCTCTGCCGGCACAGAAACCACCTCCAAGGCTCCCTCTGCACTTGTGCTCTTTCCTCCTCTGCAGTCATGGCGGACCCCTAGGAGCTGGGGTGACTGATCCCCGTCAAGGAGCTGGGGTGCCTGTAGGGAGCGTGCCAAGGACACTGCAGAGCAGGGACCCCTGTGTCCAGCCTGCTCCCTCCAGCCATACACAGCCCTCACCTCCATGGCCAACACTGCCCGGGGCAGAGGGTGGGAGTTTGGGGAGACCCTGTGGCCCGAGCTTCTGCAGTGTGGCTCCTGACTGCCTCCAGAGAGACGAGTCCTGCTGCCTGTGGGTGCGGGGGCGGCACTGACGGGGTCCCTGTGGAGTGCTAGGTCAGACCCCAGGGTCCCTGATGGAGACACGGAGGTAGAAGCTCGTTGCCCTGATGAGAGGCAGCGTGCGGCCCACAGGCAGATGGAGCAGCTCCGTGCAGACCCTGCACCCTGGAAGGAGGCAGTGGTGGCACAGTCTTAGCACCCAGAGAGCACCCCCTCCGCCATCGTCAGACCCTCGGAGCCCCCATCACCCACACAGGCGGCTCTGAGACGCACTGGTGTAGGGGATGTCTGATGAGCAGGGTTAAGGAGCTTTTGCAAACATGGACCAACAGTAGCAATGCAGTGGCCAGCATAGGGTCGGGAACAGGGAAGGCCCTGCAGCCGGGTGCTCTGAGCTGTCCCAGCAAGACGACGGGCAGGGCCACATGCTTTGCACCCCTGGGCCTCTGCCCTGCCTCCAGGGACACCCCACATGGCCTCATGTGATCATTTCATCTACAAACTGCACAACGATGTGTACGTTTGCACCCTGAAAGTACCTGTGTAGCCCAAGGCTGTGGCCCTCACCCAAGCACTGAGCAGATGCTGCACGGGCTCCCCCTGGGGCCATGTCCCTGCTCCCATCCTCACAGGATTAGTTTTTACAGAGTGCTGGAGGGTGCCTGGTGGTGGTCAGAAACGTGTTACTCAGGCCACCGAGAAGACAGACGCACGGGTGCAGGCCCCGTGTGGGCGCCCCAGTGCCCTGGGCTCGGCTCAGGTGAACTGAGCACAAGTGAACACATGTCACAATGGCCGGTTTCCATCTAGCTCCAACATCCTCTCTGCCTTCTTGACATAACAGGGTCTCCAATCAACCTTCCCAAAGCAAGTGGGGGCTTCTTTCTAGGAAGGTTAGGAGTGAGTGACCATTCTCCTCCAGTGACTCTGAGTAAAGGTGCTGTCACTGTGATCCCAGTCTGGAACCCAGGCTGCAGGGCAGCATCCGCCTCATGTGAAAAGAGTAGGGTTCCTGGTGACCAAGAAAGAATAAGCATAGGAAGGAATGAGAGGGGCCGGGTTTTGTGCAAGATTTAATAAAAAAACAGACAAAAATAGGAGTGGCTGCTTTCAGCATTTCCCAGGCTGTGAAGGGTTTACCACGACGGTTTGGGGTGCGGCTCTAAGCGCTGTCAGTGGATGTGTAAGAGCTGCTGCCCTCGCCCCAAGCCCACGGGGCAGGTGCAGGCTCAGCCCCACCCTGGACTTCCAGGTCCTCCCTGGGCTGCGAGCTGTCAGCATGGGACCCACAGCACAGCCTCGTGGCCCCTCCTGCCCCGCCTGCGCGCGGGGTGAGACAGAGCTAGCTTATCCCAGGCTGCTGGGCCGTAATACTGACAGGGAGCCAGAGCAAGGCGGGGCAGGCTGCAGAAACCAGGGAAAGCTTGGATGAAGACCCCAGGGAGTGGAGCGAGCCACCCACAGGCCAGTCTCTCATGCATCCGACCACAGTCAATGCAGACAACACCACCAAGAACGAGGACAATAAAAAATGAAGGGATGGACAGGAGTGGCACGGGGGCTGTGGCCGGGAAGTGTGTCCAAGCTGCACGGGAGCAACTAGTCGCGCTCCAGGTCCCGGGACTCAAAGAGCTTCAGGCGATCTTGCACCGTCAGGCCTTCCTTCAGACTCTGGTGGAGAAACAGACAGGCTGTTGGCCTCGGCCCTGCAAGGTGCGGGCAGCCAGTGGTGAGGCACGGCGCGGGGCCCCGGAGGGTTAGTGGGTGTGCGAGGAGGGCCACGGCCCCTGAGGAAGTGGTGTTACTGGACAAGAAAGAAAAGTCAGAAACAAGACCGATGCTGAGCTTAGGGCTCTGCCAACAGGCAAGGATGAGACCGATGGCGCTGGAGAGAAGACCCTGCGGAGAACAAGGAAGCACCTGCTGTGCCCATGTGTGGCCCCAGGAGGCCCCGAGCATGCTCCAGGGCGGACAGCCTCCCTGCTTCCAGGCCTCGTGGGCCCCGCTGGTCTCTCTTGGGGCTTGGGGACATGGAGGCCGTTCCTGAGCCTTTCAGGACAGAAGCCTGCCCATGTTCGTGTGGACCTCGGTAAAGGTGAAGAACATCCAGACCCTGGTGGCACGTGGAGGCTTCCCTGAGGATGAGGGCAGGTCTGGGCCCGCTTTCCCTGGGGCCCCGGCTTCACCCAGGACAGTGCTGCTTGCGTGTTTTTTAATTCTGACGCCACCGAGTGGTCAGAGGAATGGGGATAAGCCCAAGTCCCACTGTGACTCCCCTTAACGTGCACAAGGGCCTCACGTGTTCTCAGGACTCTGCTCCCAAGCATGCCTGCTTCAGGTCAGTGCCGCTGCCTACACAGCAGCCAGTCTCACCTAGGGGCTGGCCCTGGCACCTGCCACCCACGCTGTTCTAGCTGGGAACTTCCTTCCCTAAGGGGCAGCAGACTGCCAACTCCTGAGACCCGAGGACAGAGGCTTCCGAGCCCTGTCACAGGCTGGGAGCGGTCAGTTGCTGCCCACCCAGCACCTCTGTGACTCCATGCGCAGCTGCCCAGAGAGGTCCCCCATGAGGACCCTCGACACATCCCATCTGCTCTCAGTCCCAGAGAAGCCCAGCTGCTCTTAAGACAAGGAGCTGCTGACCCAAGTGAGGCCAAGCCCTCCTGTCCTGAGGGAGGCAGGTACACAGACTGCCTATAGGAAAGGCAAACACCCACAGAGCAGACCCTGGTTCAGAAAGCCCTGGGGACACAGTTTCTGGGTGACTTCATTCCTGTCTACAAACACATCAGGACAGAGGGCCACACGGGACCCATGTGGCTGGCTACTGACAGCACGTCACAGGCCCAGTGGTGTCCCTGAGGAAGACTGCAAGGGCCCAGCTTCTCCCTGGGCCAGCAAGAACGCTGTTCTTATGTCAAAAACTTGCCAAGCCAAACTGACTCACACGTGACTCTAGGGAACCCTGTCCCTGAACTCCCCCCAACTCACTTGGTCCAGCCTCGCCAAGACCCCCGGACAGACCCTCACTTCCTGCCCCCCGCCTTCACCAGCGTGCAAGCCCTTCCCAGCACACCTCTGCAGAGGCCTTGTGAACAGAGACCTGGCCCTTTGTCCAGAGCCCAAACTCCTTGCTGTACTGCTTTCAGGATCTTAGTTCCCGAGCAGGGACTGAACCTGAGTCCTGGCACTGAGAGTGCCCAGTCCTAACCACTGGATTGCCAGGCAAGTCCTGCAAAGTACTTTATTTCCCCTGACAGGTGGTCAGCCTGAGGAGGTGGGCTCACTGGAGCAAGGCTTCCCTGAGAGTCCTGTCATTTACAGGTACAGACAGAAGGCCCACAGCACTCACGGTGAACCTATAGCAATGGCAGGCCAGCCTCAGGCAAGGAAGTAAGACTCGTCAATAAGAAAACCAGAAACTAAAGAACAAGTCTGGGTTTGTTGAACAGAATTGCTTCCACGTTTAAAGAAAAAAACCCCAAAGTTTTTAACCAGTCTGAACCATATCTGGTGCTAAGTGACTCAGGTCTGTAGGAACCTAAGTGAAACCGAGCTGAGGATAAACTGCTCAGGTTTTCTTCAGCTCCTCCTGATGCAGACCCTGCCGCCTGCCGGCGAGTGGGGGTCACTTGCTGGCCAGCCCTGAGGCCCCATCAGCATCCCCTCTGCCCAGCCCTTCCTGCTGCCCTCAGCTTCCTTACCAGGGAGTCAACAAGATCAGGTTAGTAGAGCTGGTGAGCCCACTCAGGAGGGAGTGACCCTGGGCCCTGGATGCCTGGCCCTGTGGGAGCCAGGTGTGTTCAGGCGCAGTGTTGGAGTCAGGCAGCCAGTGTTCAGCCCATGCCTCCCGTCTCTGAGGTGCCTGGGTCCTCAGGGCTGGGAAACGCTCAGCCCCTAGTGCCTGTGGGCCACTTGGTCTGCTGAGCATCTGCCAAGCTACAGGCATGAGGCATCAGCCCCCTTGGACTGTCGATCCTGGGGGTGGGGAGTGGGAACTACTTCAGCGATGGGAGGCTCTCGTCAAGCTCGCCTCCTGACAGAGGGCAGCAGTGTCCCAAGAGAACGTGAGCACACACCATTTGACACACGCAGGATGAAGGGCTGACAGCACCTGCGCCCCCCAGGATGCGGCTCTGGGCAGCCCACCAGGCTGGGGGAGCACCCCTCTGTTAAGAGGTTACAGTAAACTCCCCGGAAGAGGTAAGAAACTTCACATGGATCCTGTCTGTGCTGCTGAGCAGGAGGAACGAGTGACGGGAAAACGAGCTCCCGTGGAGGAGTGAGCAGGGCATGCAGGCAGCGCCCTCACGGGCGGCAGGCGAGTGGCGTGAGAGGAGGTTTACCTACACGACAGGGGGCCGGGAAGCGGGTCGTTTCAGTTATCCCATGAGACCTGCTCAATTACGGACTGTCAGGGGAAGAGCAAAAACAAGACACACACACAGTAAATCCTAAGTGCAACAAGCTGGGCACCCCACCCTCCGCCCCACCTTCCCGCGGACGGGTGCACAGGGGCAGGGGCCCAAGTGGAGGAAAGTGTGCGGACGGCATCAGTGTGAACTGTAGACGTGCAAGGGGCAGTCCAGATGGCAGGACGGCCCCCGGGAGCCCCGCCGTCACTGAGGAGACAGTCCTGCTGCTGTGCAAGGGGCACTCGGCCTGAAGCCCTGGCACTGACCCAGTGGGATGTGCATGACTTGAGGCACCCTGGGGACCCTCCGTGCAGCCCCTGGTGGGCTCTGCACACCCAGGGCGGGCCCCCAGACTCACCTTGGACCTGAGGCCTCTGAGCTGCCGGCCGACACAGGACCTGTCTGTCTTCAGGAAATCGGGATTGCTCTTGGACTTCATGATGTCTGAGAAGGTGAAGAGGGCACGGTGCTAGTTTTGTAAACCCCCCAGAACACACAAGTCTGAGAGCTTCCCAGCTCAGCATCATCACTCACGTGACATCTCCGTCAACAAACCAGGGGAACACCAAGCCTATAACCATGTCACAAGATCCTCAGAACAAGGCACAGGGAGACCTGGAAGATGACTATGGCCCCAGGCTGGCCGCAGCCCCCACTGCTGCTGGGCAGCCCTGCTGCCTGCTCTCCTGAGACCCCGGGATTTAGCTTCCTATACTTAAGGCTCGCTCTCCCTCTCTTGTGAAGAGCGGCATGGTGACTAGCGGGCCAGCCCCTGACTGTGGAAGCTGAGCCAGCTCTGTGCTCCTGTGTGAAGTGCCAGGTCACAGGATGCATGCGCTTCTGGCTAACCCAAAGTCCTTTGGCCCCCAGACTCCTCGGAAGCAGCCACTGTTACATCTGAGCTGAACTTTGCTGCCTGTGGCCTACCTGCCTTTAAGAGAACTCCTAACGCCTGCCCAGCAGCGATGCAGACGGCTGAGCAGGGGGTCCTCACTGGCTGAGGGGGAGGTTCCAGGATCAGTGAGTTTGGACATGGCCTCAGTCCTAGCCCTGCCGCCTTTTATAGGTTTTTTTGTGAAACCCCAGGATCACAAACCAGTGAGAGCCACCTCCAGAATGAGGGAGTCCATCAGGAAAATGAGAAACATGGGTGCTGTCGTGAACATGCATGCCGAAGAGTGACTGCCCCTTGTGAGCTGGTGCCCACCACGCCCTGCCCATTCAGCCAGGGAGTGTCTGACACAGAAAAGGGTCCTCTGCTGGATCAAGGGCCAGCACCACCTAATTTCCAGAGAGAATCCAGAGCAGCAGGACTTACCATATCCAGACACAGGCGGGTTCTCTGGGGACTTCTCACCCAGCGCTTCTGTGGCGGCTTTTAGCTGCTCCTTCAATCTGCTGACGTCACAGTCGGCCTTTGCCCTCACAATGCTGAGTTCTGTGTAGATATCTTTGTACTTGTCACTGGCGTACTTCTTGTCCTTGGGGACAAAAGGATAGCAGAGAGCGGTTACAGACAGGCTGGACTAGGGATGCCTCCAGAAGCTGAGGAAGCAGGTGGAGTCCATCTTGCGGAGGCAGAAACCAGACACAAAGTACAAGGGGCGTGGCAGGGCCCCCGCTCCGTGCAGGTTGGTACTGCCTTGACCCTGAGGACACCTCTGTGCTTCAGGCTGGAAAACCCTGTCCTGGCTACCCAAGTGAGTCCGCCTCCAGGAGCAGCCGCAGGAAAACGACCGTGCACTGGGGCCTTGGGCCCCGCCAGGCGGGGGACAGGACTGGCCTGCCCTCGTGTCCGCTGCCCCTGCCCCAGAACATTTGTGATGGTGAATGTACTTGAGCCTCTGCGTGTGATCTGGACAGGCGTGGCCCCACCCTCCAGGCCCTCGTGGGACATGCATTACCCGCAATGCCGTCTGTAACTCATCCTTGAGGGAACTGATCTCCTGTTTCAGGTACTGAATTTCTGATTCCTTGACCCTCAACAAGACCTAGAGAAAGAGAAATGAGGGAGCTGCAATGTCACGCAGTTGTTCAGTGTTTCGTTTTGGAGATCAGCACTTGTGATGTGGTGGAAACCAGGGAGGGAGGCAGGTGAGTGAGGATGGGTTAAATGTAAAGGTCCCTGGGGCCTCGAGAGGTCCCCTGCTGCCTGGTGGCTAACTGTTCTTTGTGTCCTGGCATGACTTGGGTTTTCCCATAAGCTGGGGCCACCCCTGGTCCAACGTGTAACTCATGCGCTGCAAGCTGGTGAAGGGACCTGGCTCTGAGCCGTACCTCTAACTCGTAGGCGTCCTTGCCCTGTGTGAGGGGCGAACCAGCGGCCTCGCCACCGGCGTCCCCAGTCAGCAGTGTCCGTAGCCGTGAGATTTCTGCAGCCAGGCGGTTGTTCAGCTCCTGGAGACAGCGACACAACCACAAGGTGCTCTCAGAGCTGCCTGGGGCTGTGACCAGGGTGCAGTGGGCATCTGAGTCAGCACATGAGCTGTGACACCTGTTCAGAAGCCATGCACACGGGCCAGAGGTGTCCATGGAACTGCCCCGGCAGGAGCCGTGCTCCCAGCCCGTCAGTCACCACAGCCGGTGCTGAGCAGTTCTGTTTGTTCCCCAGTTTCTGCAGGGTTGGGGCCTTTTGCTGCCCTCAGCTTCTTTCCAGCTGACACGTGGTCACCTTTGGCCACTGCAGTGACCAGGCAGGCAGCTGTGGGCCCCCAGGGTCTCGAGCCGGGGCCAGGCTGACAGGCCTGTCTGCTCGGTGCCATGGGAGGATGAGTGGTCCAGCGCACACAGAGAAGCTCTCTTCAGATTAGACCTACCTTGAGCTGTTCCATCAGCCAGTATTTTAAGTGTGCCCCAGTTTTCTAAGCAGCAGGCACGTTTTAAGAAAATAACCTGACAAAATCCTATGTGAGCATTGTATGGTCTTGACTGGGAGGTGTTTAAACACGGTCCCAGCCTTGGGGATGGAACCCTGGACCCAAACCACACAGTGACAAGAGAAAGAGAGCCCAAGGTTAGCAGCGGCGGTGACTTCTGCCCACACCCTGGTGACGCTGTTCATCGGGTGGGGCCTGCAGAGCAGGGCCCCTGTGAGGCTCACCTGGTTGTGGGCGTTGAGCTCCTGGTTCTCACGCTGGCACTGCCGCAGGGCCTGCCGCTCGGCCTCCAGAGCCTGGGCCAGGTGGGCATTCTCCAGGCACTTCTGCGAATACTGCTCTGAGAGGACCTCCAGTTCACGTTGCACAGACTGCAGCTCCTCCCTGGGGAGCGGGCACCACTCACTCCTCTAGCCACGCCCTGGGCCCAGCATCCCCTTCACGAACCCAAGGGACAGCGGGGCACCACCAGGTGGAGCAGCCACGAGCACCCCGTGCCCTGTCACAGCTGCAAGTCTGCAGCCCGGCCTAGGGGCTCCGTCCATCCCCCAGGAGTCTGAACTCCTCTCCTGGGGTTCGGGATCGGGAGAGCCTTACCCTTGCACCAAAAACGTGCTGTTTCAGATGGAGGCCAGAAATGGGCCATTTGCAGCACTGGCTGACAGCCTAGACCAGGTCTACCTGGATTTGGAAAACCAAGGCCAAGGGGCTACAGGATGCCTCCAGCTGAGGTGAGCTGCTGCTGCCGCCCACCCACCTCTACCGTGAATATGGCCCCCGTGAAGGCGGCTCTGCATGGCCTGCAGTGGCTGAAGGGAAAGCTCCCAGGGGTGCTGGTACCCCTGAGGGCAGAGCTCAAGAGCGGCTGTGGGGTGGACACGCCTCACCCTGCCGCCTTGGCAGAGAACACTGGAGCGAGTGCTGTTTGAACACACGGGGGTTGCGGCCACATCTGCATGCACAGTTGGGGCATCCGCACTGCGCCGCCGCCCCCCCCCCACCCCTCAGCTTCTGAAGCAGGGGCAGCTGACGGAGAGAAGGGATCCAGGGGTCTCCCAGGTGGGTCCTGAATATCTGACATTGTAAGACCTCTTCTGCCACATCTTACTCTTTAGGTTTTACTAACTGGCTTCTGTTCAGCTCAATAATGGGACCACTTGGGCCGTGAGAGCAGTGCTAGGCCAGAGTGGTGTGGGGCACCTTGAACAGGAGGCTCTGAGTGGCCTTAGTGCCTTGGGCCTCCACCTGCACTCCCGGGACCCACATCTCAGAGGCTTGCACAAAGACAGTGGAAGGCACTGTCTGCCCAGTTGGCCGGCCCAACTCACAGGTACTGTCGCCGCAGAGCCTCGACATCTGCATTGACGCTGCTGATCTGGGACCGCTGGCTCTTCTCTAGCTCCCGCTCCATCTCCTCTCGGTGGGCGTTCTTCATGGCTTCAATGGCTGTGGAGAGGATGTGGCCCTTAGTACCAAGAGGCTTGGGGCGAGACCAATAGGAAGGAGGCATCCTGCACCTTTGAGGCTTGGCCCATTGGCAGTTGGGCCAGGAGGATTTCCAGGGAACACCCCGACAAAAGGGATCAGGTGTGGTTTGGTTTTAATATTAAAAAAAAAAACCAAAAACTGATTCCATAAACATCCAATATAGAACAAGCAGGCTTTTGGGTTGGCCTGTCTTCTCTCTCAGTGCTAAGACCCAAAGCTGCTGTGGAACACAAAGGAGGGAATGCCGGCTGAGGCCCAGTGCTCAGGCTCTGACGGACCAAGGCCCTGCAGAAATGTCCACTATCAGAGAAGCACCAGCAAAGAGGCTGACAAGATGAGGACAACCCCTCCGATGCACAGGTGTGACTGGCTCGGGGCTCATGAGCTCCCGAAGGGCTCCTTAAGCCAGCTGTCCCCCTGGAGAAGTGTTAAAGAGCTTGTGCCCAGCTCGGTGAGAGCCCATTGCCCATCCCGGGGTGAGTGACTCCCACCTGAGATGGTGGCCGCGGTCTCCTCAGCCAGGAGGCGGTCTTTTTCCTCCCGCAGTTTCTCCAGCTCCCGCTGGTGCTGCCTCTGCAAGTCCTCAATCTTCTTCTGGTGTGTCTCTTCCATGGCTGCAAACCCCCGCTCGCACGTGGCCTGGAAGGTGCACAAGGGGCTTTACCCACTTCCCTTCGGCTCCCTGAGCAAACCGTGACTGAGCAGACCACGGCCCCACCCCGCCTGGCCCGCAGGGCAGGGAGCTGCTCTCTGGGGCTGAGCCTGGCACCAGCTCATACCCAGAGCAGTTAGAAAAGGGTGTTCACCCGGTGAGTCCTGCCTGATTCCTGTGGTTGTTTTGAGTTCCATTTCTCTGCAAAGAGCTGGTACTGTGGGTGGGAGGAGGCTGCCGTGGAATTGAAAACAGCCCACCCTGGCCCTTTATGGAATGACTGCCAGGTAAGACTGACAGGAGGACAAGAGAGAACATGGGCAGAGGCTAGCATGTCTGGTCTTGAGTTAACCCCTGACATGCTCAGCATCGCCATACCCCAGGTGTCGGGCACAGTTGTGAACAGAGATGTCTTGGTCAGCTGCCAGGAGCTGAGAGATCCTGTGAATGACAGTGACCCAGGACATGGAGCCGGGGGCCCAGTCCTGCCACTGCCCAGCTGGCCACTCAGATGGTCACTGAACTTCTCAGGCATGTGCTGAAACAATCAGATTAGGGTGTGGGACACTTCCTTTTCCTTGTGAAGGAGTACAAAGAGGGGTCCTAATTACCAGGTGCCTCTGCTCATTGCATCGAGGTCATGGCAGAACTGCTCCCCAGCCTGGTCTGTGTCTTGCTCGAGCCTGGCTTGGTTTATGACCTGGATGTGGGCTTGGGGACCCAAGAAGTGGTCCGACTACCCCACACACCCACCCTGTATCCACCAGGCCTGGCACATCAGGTGAGTCTTCTGCCCGGGGTGGGTGAGTGTGCCTGTGGCCGTCAGGGCTGGTCTGTGCAGCTCTTTTGTGGATGGAGGCACACTGGGCCCTCTAACAGAGATGGCTTCGCTCAGGTGCAGGAACCGCGTTTCTCAGTTCTCTTTCAGAGCTGCGAGAATGTGGCCACATCACCTCCGATGTAAGTCTGGGGGACCTTCTTGTGCCCGGATCCAAGAAGGATACCAGGAACCCCAGTCTGTGTCTGGGTACCTCCATCTGACTCCCACAGGAGCAGACAGACCTTTCTGGACTCCCCAGTCAGTATTTTCACACTCAGGGTCTGCACTTCCCTGGGACAGACCTGCTGTCCACCACTCACTGGGCATTCCTCCTCGCAGTGCCTTCCAGATGGAGCCCCTGTCTCCTCTTTGCAGCTCACACACCCCTGGACACCTGGAGAGTCCCAGAGCTGCCCTCCCACATGCTTTGGTTCAGCATGGCCTCTCGGTCAACACATGGGCAGGGGAGGGTCTAAATCATAGTTTGATGGGAATGTTTTCGAGTATTTCCAGATAAGGATCAGAACTCTTACAGAAACACTCAGGTAGCTCCTTGGAGAGCACGTGTTAACCTGTAAATACAACCCTAACGTTTAAGACAGTAAACCCTGGGGCCAATCAGTTCCTCGATGACTACTCTGCAGAGTTGCTAGAAAAGGCACCAGCTTGCAGCTATCAGGAGAGGAACCGAGACCCCAGTCTCCCTCAAGTGACTGCCGTCAGCCCGGCACCCAGAAGAGCAGCTTGGTTGTAATCCCTGTGTCTCACAGGACCCAACGAGAACAGACTCAGGACAGAGAATGCTACCCAAGTCCCCAGCCTGGCCTACATCCCTTCAGGGGCCCAGCATGCACCCATATCAGTACAGGGGCTTCTTCCCTCCTGACTTCAGGCCAACTGCGCAAGAGGCTGGTCCGCACCTCGTCTAAGTTGCCTCCCGTGCAGACCCTGAGTGTCAGGAAGCAGCTGAGACGTTACTTTCAAATGCCTTGCTGGTGTGCCCTGACTGCATGGGACCGTGCAGCACTTTCCATCAGCCCTCGAAGCTTCCTTGGGATTCAGAATGGCTTTCAAAAGGTTTGGACTGATTTGGGAAAAGGCAATAGAAACAGCCTGGCAGGTGCCAAAGTGCTTGCTAATGTCCAAATGCTTATCACAGTAGCACACCCACCTCAGCACTGGACGTGGTCCCGGCTAGAGAAAGGGGGACATGTGAGGAGCCTGGCATTTACTGCATTTGTGTGGCAAGAAGCCCAAGAGCAGGCAGCCCAAAGCCCAGGCAGCGCCACACAGTTGAATGCTCCGGGGCCGGGAACGTCACCTGGACTGGCCAGGGCCATGACGTTCTGCCCACCAAGGGGGGTGTGAAACAGGATGGAGGTGCTGGGGGAAGGTCACTTCTCCAAACCTGTGGAGAAAGGAAGGCTGCATCTCCTTGAGAAAACAACCATTCCTGCACAAGGTTCCCCACTGGACGCAGCCCCTGGGGGGGAGGTAGGAAGTGGCCCTTGACACTGTGTGGCAAACACCCCTGTCCTTCGAGAAGTCCAACTTTATACTCCCAGGACAGTTAGGAGAGGAACCTCACCAAGTCCAGGCCTTCACAGCCTGGAGGTGAGGGTGAGGCCCCCCACCGGGCTCTGCTGGGACCCCCTGAAGCCCACAGGCAGTCAAGGGGGAACAGCACATTTGGAGCTAAGAACCCTGTCCCAGCTCCACCCTGACCGCTCTGCTTTGAGACCTTGAGGCTCTCCAAGTCCCTCTGGCGCTCCTCCTGCAGCGAGGCCACGCCGTCCAACGGGTCCTTGTGCTCTAGCTCCTCCCGCAGGATGTCCACTTGTGCCTCTAGCTCCTGGATGCGCTCCCTCAGCCCCGCCACGGACTCGGCCTCGCCCTCAGCTGGTGAGCCGGAGAGGGGCTGGCCCTGGTAGTGGCCCAGAGTTTCTTGCAGGCACCGCAGGGTCTGCGAGTAGTGCTCCTGCAGGGCCCGCAGCTCCTCTTCATGGATGGTCTGGAGCTCTCTGACCTTGAGCTGGAACCTGGCCTCCAGGGCCTGCACCTGCTCCACAGGCCGCCCCCCCAGGTCCTGCTCGGCCCTGGTCCCGGCGTCAGGCTGGCCCCGGGCCCCGCCACATGCAGCCTGCAACATGCCCTCCACGTGGATCTCCTCCTTGAACCGCTCTGGTGGGGCAGCCAGGCGCTCGCCGTGCGCCAACTCCAGACACCTCTGCTGCTGGTCCAGCTGGGCGACCTTGGTCTGGTGCTCCACGTTCTCCTTTTGGGCGAAGGTGAGCATGTCCAAGTACTCGCCCTTCCGCTTGCGGAGAAGCTCCTTGGACTCCCCCTGCAGGGGCCCCAAGGCCTGCTCATGCCCCTGGTAGGGGGCCCCCTGGCCCAGCCAGGACTCCTTGTAGCCCCGGAGCTCATTCTCATACTCGAGCCGGATCCTGCAGGCTGCATAACACACCTGAGCCTGAAGAATCGCATCCTGAACTAATAAAGAAGAATACTGGCCGAGGCCTCCCAGACAAGCACGGCGCGAGAGATGCTGGGACGCCTGGAGGAGCTTCCGACAGTCCCCAAGTGCCTCCACAGAGGGAAGCGAGGTTAGGGAGGCAGAAATCTCCCCCAGGAGACTGGCCTTATCTTTAAGCTGCAGGGCGAGCTCCTCCTGAATAGCAGCTAAGACCCCAGAACTCTGGCTGGACAAGGGACAAGCCAGGGAGCTGGCTGGGTCCTGATGACTTGGTGCTTCTACCGGTGGGCGCCTGGCCCAGGACACCTGGTCACCGTCTCTGGTGCCCAGCGGAAGCTGCAGGGCTTCCGAGACCTGCTGCATCACCCTCTCAAAGGCAGGGGTCCGATAGGCCCCCAGGACCTCCTGCAGCATGCACTTGTGCTGCTGCAGGGCCGCCTGTGTCCCTTGGAGGGTCTCCTGGATGCTCTGGAGCCTGCGGTGGAGGGACTCCCTCATCGAGCATGCAGCGAGACTGAGCTCGGCCCTGACCCACGTGGCGTCCGCCAGGGCAGGGGCCAGGGCTGGCTGGGCACATGACTGCCTGCTTCCTGAGGCGCTGGCTGCCTCTCCGCCCAGCATCTCCAGGTGCCGGCTCAGGGACTCGACCTGGCTCCAGAACTCTCCATCCACCAGCACCTTCTTGGCCCAGGCATCTGCTGGGGCCTCTGGACAGACCACAGCACTTTCAGACTCCAGCGGCCACCGTCCTGACTGAGCCATCTCCAGGAAGACCTGCGACACGTCCAACGTCGTGTTCCGTAGCGAGTCTGCAATCTGGTCTATGAGGGCGGCTTCCAGAGCGATCTGCTCAGAGAGGAGCTGCAGCTGCTCCTGCTCGCTCAACGTCAGCATGTGTGGCAGCTGCTGGGATGGCGCCTTCTCCTCCTCCGAGAAGCCTGCTTCGCCCGTGGAAGCTGGCCGGGGACGCAGGGCCTGGACAGCACCCACGAGCAGGCTCTCCAGACCAGCCAAGGGCCCTGCTCCTGCGTCCCCCGGCAGGGACCGCAGCTGTTCTCGGCAGCTCTCCAGGCAAGCCAGAGCCTGGCTGTTTTTCACCTGGAAGTCACTGAGCTCCCCAACATGGCTCTCGACCGCCTCCGCCCTGGCCTGTTTCTCCTGCTCCAGCTGGGCGGCCAGCGCGGTGACCTGGAGCAGGCTGGCTCGGAGCTGCTCGCAGAGCCGCGCCTCGGTGCCGGCCCACTGCTGGTGCAGCGCAAGCAGGGCCTCTTGGCTCTGGCCCTGCTGGCTCTCCAGCCTCGCCGTCACACCTTTGAGCTTCTCCTCGGTGACATAGAGCTTGGTCTCCAGGGAGTGGATGATGGACAGGTAAGCGTCTGGGTCGCTGGGCATGGGAAGCGAGCTGGGGGTAGCCTCTGATGACATACTTTCCTCCGAGGGTGAGCGCTCCTGACTGGTGTCCGAGGACACGCTGCTGGTCCCGGTCTTCTCACACCCGTCAGGGTGGGTATACTTCTGACACTGGATTGTGGAGAATCGGATTCTTTGCCTCTTAACACCAGGTACTCCCTGGTCAGGTTTTGAGGACACTTCCGACCTCAGGAGAACCATGCTCTCTTCTCTGCTGGGGCTGCTGTCTCCCAGCTCCTCCCCTGGGGCCACATCCTCCAGCCCCGAGCAGGGCAGGCCTGGAGGCATGCCGGCAGTCTGGCACTGCAAGCCCACATGAGCAAGGCTGTCCTCAGCATCCTCCAGAGGCTCTGTGGCCAGTCGCTGTTCGATCTCTCCCTCTGCCTGGAGCTTCCTGTCTGCCTCACCTAGGCTGCTCCCCAGGGCAGACGTCCCCAGCAGAGCCTGCTGCAGGCCCTGCCCCTCCCTCTCTAGCACCTTCTCATGCGCGTCCTGCAGGCGCCGCAGCTCCTCCTCCTTTTCCTGGAGCCTCGTGTGTGCGCCCTGGAGCTGGCCGGCCACCCTCCTGAAGGAGTGCTCTAGGCTCTGGTAGTCAGCCTCCCTCCCCCTCAGCTTCTCCTGCAGTGCAGCCACATCCCCATCGGACAGGGTGACACGGCCCAGCAGCTCTTGGAAGCGCTGCTGCGTCAGATCGCGCTCATCCCGCAGGCTCTGCACATGCTCGGCCAGCTTCTGGATGCTGGCCTCCTTCATCTCCAGCTGCTGTTCCAGCCGTTGCACTGCCTCGCTGCCCTCGGACCTAGCGCTCAGCTTCTCTTCCTGCAGCGCCTCCACCCGGTGCTCGTGCTCCTGCAGCCGCCCCTCGAAGGCGCGGGCCCTGTCCTCTGCCTCCGCCAGGCTCCGCAGCAGCTCCTGCTTCTCCCGCTCGCAGCTCCCCAGCAGCAGCTCGTAGTTCCTCTGCAGTTTCTCCTCCATCAGCCTCTGGGCCCGCTCACTGGCGCCCAGCTGCTGGCTGAGGTCGGCAATGCGCTCTTGCAACTGCTGTACCTCCTTGTGCCGGTCCCGCTGCAGCGCCTGCTGCCGCTCCAGGTCCCGCAGCTCCTGCGTCCTGCCCAGCAGCAGGGCCTCTGCGCTCTGCAGCTTCCGCTCGCTGGCGCGCAGCTGGGCATTGAGCGCGGCCTCACTGTGCTGCCGCTCCTCCAGCTGCTCACGCACCTTGTCCTTCTCCAGCCTCAGCTCGCCCTGGAGCTTGGCCAGAGCCTGCTCCTTGATGGCAAGCTCGGCGGCGGTGTTGCCCAGCCGCGCCTGGAGGCTCCGGATCTCGGCCTCGTGGTGCCGGATCGCATCCTTGGCCTCCCCGTAGCTGCGCTTCAGGGCCTGAATCTGCCGTGTGATGAGCTCCTGGCGCTGGCACTGGGCCTCCAGCTCGCCGTGCAGATCCTGGTTGACTCTGTGGAGCCTCTGCCAGGTGCCAGATGGGGAGGTAGCCACTTCGGTCTTAAAAAAACCGATGAAACACGGGTTAGTAACACTCGGCCTCCCAGTTCTGAGTGTCACACCTCTGGCCAGGGTCAACCACAGAAAGGCTCCTTTGTGGGTCTTTTATCCTTTGCACAATTTTTTTCCCCCATTTAAAAAAATAACAAATCATCTCAATTTTTTTGGTAAGCAGCTGTTTCCAGATAAACAGAAAACATGAACAGTAACATCAAAACAGCTCTAACTGCACAGCTTCTAGGAGAAATAAACCAAACAAAACTGAATAATGGAGCACAGTGGTAAGCAAACGAAGACTGCGGGACGAGAGACTCTGGCAGGAGGCTCGGGTAGGAGCAGAGCAGAGCATCATTTGTTTTGCGAAACAAAAGGCACATGGCTCTAGACCACAAACCCCACAAGAGCGCAGCACCCGATACGCTGCCCTTTCCTTCTGGGACAGGAGAAGGAAGGGCGGCACCGCTGGTGGACGTCAGTGAGGTGACATCCGAGACACTCCTGTGGGAGGTGGCGCCTGTCCTCCACAGTGACAGGAAGAACTAACCTCTACCTGCAAGAAGACAAAACGAGGGGGAACGGAAACCATGGAGTAAAACATGAGAATTAACAAAACAAACCTTTGTGGAGTTGAAAATAACAAAGTGAAGCATGCAGAAAATAAAACAATTGAAAAAAAACTCCTCCAACTGAAAGGCATGCAGAACAGACAGAACTAATTAATGGAGGAAAAAACAAGAACATGAAGGGAGTGAGAACAGCTCAGCCTCAGAACTGGCCTGCCCATGGCTCCCTTGAGGTATGCTGGCGGGGAAGCCACAGGTGTGACACTCAGTTACGTAAGTTAAGAGACACTCCACGGCCACATATGCCAGCTCCTCCTCCCGGCTGGCAGCACGGCGCCCACCCACCACCATGACCCTCCTCACCCTTAACCCCAGAGGCCCTCCTCGCTCACCCAGACTTGAGATCATAAGCAGTGTGAAAGCAGAGGGAGGTTAAGAGTAACTGCCCTCTGACCTGGGAAGGAAGTATTAACATATCTGGCCTGGGGGCAGGCTCATGCAACCATCCAGGTCAGACACAGGTGGGTTCTAAGGTTAGCAATGTGCAAAATCTGCTGCCAGGATCTTCTCGGCCTGGCAGCCCAACCGGGGTTTAAAAAGGAGCTCCCCAAACCTGCAGGGTCTCTGCACAGATGTCCCAGAAAGTCCTGGAGTGACATGTGCAGGAAAGAGGGGTATCCCCACACTAGGTCCCAGGGCCCCAGGGTCTGAACTGGGCATGGCAACAACTATGGCTGAAGGGCTGGGAGGAGGGTCCAAGGCACACGGGGTGCCTAGGGCTGAGGCCAAAGCTGGGGGAAAAGGAAAGCAGAAAACATCCACCAGAGAGTGTTGTGGAGAGGGGCAGGAGGACAGACTGTCCTGAAAGTCCACCGGACCAAGGAAACCAGTGTGCTGCGGTCTGCAGATGCAGAGATGTATCACAGCAACTCAGGGGCCTGGAGAGTCAGGGGTGCCCTCTGGGACCATGTCTTGGTCTACACAGACAAGGAACCTGGTGCTGGGGGAGGGGGTGCAGGACCCAGACTGGACTGCGGAGCCCTCAGCCTTGCATGACGAGACTTACGTTCTCAGCCCCACTATGCTGCTTTGCTCTTCCTGGAGCTCAAGCTCACCTGTCTGTTACCTCTCCCCACCGCACATCTGCTAAGGGGGCAGCAGAGTGCTGGACCTCAGAATGGAGCAGGGCCTGGAGCACTGCGGGACACGTAGCCCACACCAGCCTGCCCTGCCCAGATGCCCTCCTGCCTGTGAGACACCCGCGGCTCCCTGAAACCACCTGGTGGCTGGCACTCTGGCACAGAGACCTCTGCGGGAGACAATGGGTCTGGACTCTTGGCTCAGGAACGGGCAGCTGTGTTTCCCCCTCAAACCTCAGGCTCAGCAGAAAGTAAGATGTGGGGCTGCGAGGCGAGTGGACAGTCCCAGGCTGCCCCGCAGGTGGGGCACAGACATGGCTGGGGGAGGGGACCAGTCCTAGCTTTGCCACAGGCAGATCCTAAGGAGGCACCTGGGAGGATCCTAAGGAGGCCTGTTCCTCAGTTTCTTCTGTAAAATGAGACTAACGCTCTTCTTGTGAAGTTAGAAATGACTTGCAAACATGTGACGTTGATTAATAAATATACGTTGGGCTCTTTGAAAGCTGAAGAGAAACACAACCAGAATTATTTTATTAAAAAACAAAAGAGCCTTAGCTGTAGAGGGTTCATCAGATTCTCCCAATGTTATATAAGCAGCAGAAGCACACTGTCCAGAGCGCCTGCTCCTGCAACAGAGGGCCCTGGAGCCTGGCAATGGTTTTTGCACATTCCTAGCCTGCCTGGGTCCTGCACATGAAGCCCGTGGGTGCCCAGAGGGTGGCAGCCCCTCAGCCCTACCTGCAACACATAGCCCTCCCGGGCGCTCTGCTCCCGGCCCAGAGCCACCCTCAGCTGGTCCTNCCCTCAGCCCTACCTGCAACACATAGCCCTCCCGGGCGCTCTGCTCCCGGCCCAGAGCCACCCTCAGCTGGTCCTGCAGCAGTCGGTTCTGTTCCAGAAGGTCTGAGGCCTCCTTCTGGCTCTGCTCCAACTGCGGGCAGAAAGACACACGTGTGAAGCAGGATGGCAGCAGTGGTCAGGGGCAGAGCAGCATGGCCCTCGTGGTCCTCCCGGTCCAGCGTGGTGGAGCTCGCCGGCAGGTGCATTTCTCGGGTCTACACTGCACCAACGGTTCAGCTCAGGCCGTGAGTCTGCGTGGGTGCCACTAGCTTCCAGCTGCTGGGGGCTGCACCAGGCCAGGCCCTACAGGAACAAGGCCTCCATGCCTGTGTCTGAGGGAAGACCACCCACTGGGTCCTTTGGGTGTCCTCAGCATGGCCAAACAGGCCTGTGCTGCTCCAGGCAGGCCTTGTGCCAGGCTCTACACCTCAGCTCCTACAGAACCCCCTTCGACCAGCTGGACACGATGGATTTTGTATAAAATCACGTTGGCGAGGATGTGGCTCCTAGCAGCTGTGAGTCCAGCCGTCGCTTGCTGCCCCTTTCTAGCTGCAGGGCCCTGGTCAGTGGGGAGCTGGGTGCACAGTGGGCTGTGCTGACTAGCATGGGGACCTTCGTATCAAACCCTGCTGTCTGAAACAGTCTCAGAGTCCAGTGTGTGTGGCCTGCTGACCTACAGTCCAGCTGTTTAGAGCAATCTCATTTTGGGCTGTTAATTTACTGTTTTGCCTCTTTTATTGTTTTAACAGGCATAGAAAAGTATTGATACTAGTGGTAAATATCAGCCTCATAAATCTAACAAAATAAGATGAGAGGTGAAGGCAGGCCAGGTACCCAGCCTATCGTTTCATCAGCCTCCAAAGTAAAGAGCACATCTGAATCAGCAGGCAGGCCAGCCATGCACACCCCTCAGGGCTCACCCAGGGTGCCAGGCTGCTGTGCCGAGACAGGAGCCTACCAGTTCACTGTCCTCTCCGCCAGTGCACCCCAGAAACAGGGCAGGTAAAACAGACACCCCACCCCACCCCCACCTCTGGCCCCACTGGCTCTCAGTGGCAGTACCACCCCTCTGGTCTATGGAAAGGCCTGGTGTGCACCTCCCCTGACCCAGCCCTCCTCCCAGTACTTATCTGGGACCTGTCTGTGTGCCTGGTTTGCTGAGGGGTCTACAAGCCCTTGGGGCCTAGGCCCACAGCTCCTACACTCTTGGGCACAGAGGGGGCCAAGGAAGGGGGCTGCATGGAGTCAGCCAGCCCGCCCACCCGCCCTGGCCACTACCTCCTTCTCCAGCAGCGAGGTCAGCTCGGGTGTGGAGAGTCGGTCGCTGCCATCCTCAGAGGACAGGTGCAGGGGGGCGATGGGCACTTGCTTCTCCTCCCGGAGGGGGGTGGTTTCCACCTGATGCCAGCGCTGCTCGATCTCCACATGCACATTCTGGGTCCTGAGCTCAGCAGCTGTGGGCGGCCCCAGGCCCCGGTCGACCTCCATGCGCAGGGCCACATCCTCTGCACTGGGCCCCTCCACTTCCGGCGTCCCAAAGCGCTTGCGCCGCTCCTCCCGCCGTCGTGCGCGCTCCCGCTCCAGCTCCCCGGGTTCCGCCTCGGCCCGAGAGCCACCAGCCCTCTCCTGGGCCAAGGCCTGCTGGATAGGGCGGAACTCGGCCCAGTCGAAGGTCTTGGAGCGGCCCTCACGCCTGCGCTCACGCGCCCGGCTCCTCTTCTGCTCAGGGTCAGGCTCCCCAAGCTCCCCGTCCTGCTTCTCCAGTGGCCTTGTCTCCGAGGGGGAGCCGCTCCGGGCCTTCACCTGTGGCAGTGAGCTNTCACGCGCCCGGCTCCTCTTCTGCTCAGGGTCAGGCTCCCCAAGCTCCCCGTCCTGCTTCTCCAGTGGCCTTGTCTCCGAGGGGGAGCCGCTCCGGGCCTTCACCTGTGGCAGTGAGCTGCAGGGGCCAGAGACAGTGGTCAGGTGGGGCCCCCACCACCAGGCCCGGCCCCTGCTGTCATTATGTGCTTTTCCTGCTCGGCTGCGGTCCCTGGAGGGAACCCCAAGGGGCTCTGAGCCGTGCCAGCAGAGAAGGAGCCACAGACGATGGCCCAGAGGTTTCCTGCAGGATGATGCTAGGGTCTGAGAGCCCTGTCAGGTTTGCTGGGCACAGCCACCATCCAAACGAGGCCATATAGGAGGGAAGCATGTGCTGGGCTGATGGTGACAGAGTGAACGGGAGCAGCTACTTTCCTCAAGGCTTGTGGGTTTTCAATAAACAGGTAAGGAACACAGTCAGGTCTGTGTTTTAAAAAACCACTCTGGTGGCTGGTGTGACAACCCTGGGCCCACCTGTGGGCCAGTGAGCTGGCCAACCCAGGTGGTTCCCATGAACCAGCACCACACAGGGGCTCACTGCTCAGGACTCGAGAAGACTGGGTGGCCCACCTGGGCCAGACGCTGGAGGACACCCATGCCTACCCAGCAGCCGGGTGCACCCCCTCCCCCACAACCCTAAGATGTGGCTGTCTGAGGATAAGACCCCAAGACCCCCCCTCCCCCCCCGAGAAGAGTGGCCTCTGGTCCCACCCAAGCCCTCAGCACAGGGTGGGAAAGCCCCTGAGTGGCAAGGGCTAGGGCTGGGGGGCTCCAGGGAACACAGACAAGGAACCTCCAGAAGCACCCTCTGTCCTGGGGGCTTCCAGGTCAGGACCACATGCCTGGACACATTTCTCCAGGATGGACCTTTCAACAACACCCAACTGCAAGCTGGCCCACAGCCCAACCGTGTGATGGTCAAGACGACATAGCACCTCTCTGCCACTCTCTCTGGAGTGGAAGCCCCCGTGACCCCACCAGATTGGGGCTGCAGCACTTGGATTGAGCTACAACTTCTGGCATCTACACCTTCCTGGGACATGGCCTAGCTGCACTAGCTGCACTTTCCTCAAAGTGTAAAAGCCCCCACACAGAGCACACAGTGAGGCAAGCACCTTGGCTCAGTCCACTGACACTGGAGTCTCTTCCTGTCAGAAGAATGCTGTGGCCCTGACATGGAGGGGAGGCACTGTCCTGAGCCACGTGGGCCTGAGCACGTCCTCCACACTGCTTCTGAGGCCAAAGCCCCACACCTGCTCTGTGACACCTGAGGCTGACATCCCCCCACCTGGAGCTGGACCGGCCGCGCGGGGTCCTTCAAAGAGCCCAGAGAGGGCCTTGGCCTCTGCTCCTGGTCCTACAGACTCAGAAACAACCAAATACTCTGTTCATCTAACGAAAAAAGGAATAGAGTCAGCACAGGACAGAAGTAGAAAGGAGAGTCCCTTTAGGATCCCTTCCTGACTCTGTTCAAAAATGTAGGTCACCAGGAGGGAAGCAGGACTTGGCAAAGGTGTGAAGCCACCCCCAGGAAGAGATGTGAGTGCTCTGTGGGCATGAGGGCCACCCTCCGGGCATGGCCTCCAACCCAAGAGGCCCTTGAGAAGCACCAGGACTACAGGAGGGAAAAGTGTAAGGGAGAAACTCTCAGGACCAGTGAAGGCTCTGAGGCCAGAAAGTGAGGGCAGCAAGAGTTCTGGGTGTCACAGAACCAGCCGCATGCAGAGATCCTGTCCTGTCTGCTTTTTGTGAAATGAAAACAGCAGGTTTCTAACCATCAGGGCAGGAGGAAAGTTTGGGGCAAATGATGAGCTTCCCAGAGCATGGCTATCAACACGGGAACATCCCCAGCTTCGCCCCCCGCACCAAGAGCTCCAAAGGGACATCTGTCCTGGTTGCACAGACATCCTGCAGATGCAGGAGTGAGGCAGGAAGACCAAGAAAAGGCAATACTGAGGTGGCCTGTGGACACAGCATCTGGTGCTGCCTTTGACCAACCAGGGCTCAGCGGCTGGAGATGCCCTGTATCCAGGCCCCAGGGAGTTCATGCACTGGGCAGGGCTGGCAGGGGGTGGGCGCAGTGCAAGTAACAGACAGAGGAACAGGGCGGCTGCACTGAGTCTCCTAAGCACCTGACTGGCTCACCTCGTCACATCCGGGGCAGAGGTCGGGTGGACATGCTTCATGATGGTCTGGATCCAGTTCCTCCGGATTCCAGATGTCATGGCAGAGAGGGTGAAGGCGCCCTCCTTCGTCTGCACAGAAGATGAGGCGTTAGCCATGAGTGTCCCTCACCGACCCTGAAGGGCTTGCAGGAAGGACTCACCCCCAGGATGCCCCTCCCAGAGGAGCTGCTCTTGATGGGAGAGGCTGAGGGAGAGGGGTCTCAGCACGAAGCCCAGAGAGCGGGAACTTGGCACCACCCCCAGCACCGTCCGCAGAGGTGGCTAAGGGTCTAGCTCACTGAGTATGCCTCTCCCTCCTGCAGGACAGGGGTACAGGGAATCATCGGAGCCCCCAAGTCACAGCTGGAGTGCCCTGCCAGGTGCCCTCCAGCCCAATGGACTGGGGAATGGATTTCTCCTTCTAATGAATTCACTAACCCTCAGGTCTGAGCTCGGTCTCCTCTGAGTTTGGTTAACCTTGGTCACTGCCATGTGCTGAATCTAAGCCCAAAGGTCAGGAGGGGAGTCCCAGCCCGGGAGCCCAGGGTAGCAGCTGGCAGGCAGCTGGCAGGCTGCTGGGTGCCCATTGCACACCTCAGGCTCTCAGGAGGGAAGAATTAGCTTTTCCCAAAGACAGGTCTGGGCTTCCCTCATGGTTTAGTCAGTAAAGACTCCACCTGCAATTCAGGAAACCTAGTGACTAAACACAGCACAGTACACAAAGACAGGTCTGGCCTTTGCCCTTCACCACTGTGGTGCAGAGTGGGGGCTAGCCAGGCCAGAAGGACCAGGCGTGTGGTAGGGAGATGCTCTGGCTGTGTAATGTCAGCTGGCCTCTGGGGGAAGGGCTGGAGCTTGCCTTACCACATGGACAATGATCCAGTTGATGAGTTATGAAGCTGCTACGAACACTGGACACACTTGGGCCTGGTGCCAGGCCTAAGCCCGAGCAAGCTCCCCAGGCTGGAAGTTCTGTGTGTTATCAAATGTCAACGCCAGGGAGAATGTCCCCAAGAATGTGAAAGCTTCCTGTTCAGTGCAGTTCTCCACGAGGTGCTTCCTCGGGCTGATCCCAGTCTGTACCCTTTGCTAGAGTGTGTCCGCAGTTCTAAGGAGAGTGTTCCCTGTGCTCTGAGTCCTCCCGGCTAGTTATCGGACATGTGGGGGGTCCAGGGCACCCTGAGACTTGCAGTGGGCATCAGCCAGCTGGCATAGCCAGGGGTCTGTGCCCTCACCTCATCTGGCTACCCCTGAATAGTCCTTGAACCCCCATCTTTGATGAAGTGGCCAGTGAAAACTGTTCCATCTGCCTAGTCAAATAATTTTTTTGAAATGGGACAGCACCTTGCACACTGGAATCCTTCACAAGATTGTGGGGCAGAAAGACTCCGGTGAGTGGCTACATCGATGAGCTAAGAGTAAGTGCATGAGAAGCTAGTGCCCTGAAAGCTGAAGAAGCAACACCTTCACTCTTACTCCCCATACCCCACCTCTTTCCAGCCGTCCCTGTTCTACTGAAAGAAAGACCCTATTACTACAAAGGCTCTGGACAGCCTCCAGGGGGAGATGCTGACGTCTGCTTTCTGCTGAGATCACAGAGTGGGGATGGGGTGAGGAGCTACAGGACAGAGAAAAGGAGAGGATGAAGTGCCCACCCGTCAGGCTCACGGCCCTCCCCTCACACCCCGCCTGCCGCCCAGCCCCACCCCGCTCACATGGATCTGGAAGCCATAGTTTCTCTGCACTGGGTACTCTGTGACATCACAGCACGTAGACAAGTCGATTTCCCCATCCAAGTCGGCTGCCTGCAGAGAAGGTGAGAGATTTAGAAGGTAAAGGCCAGTGTCCCGTGAGCTTTTTGGCTACTGGACAGGTGTTTTCGCAGGTGCTGCCGACCACACACCACCTAGAAGCATCCATGCCACCCCCACCCCATCCTGCCAGGGACATCCAGGCCAGGGTTCTCAGACCTCCTTTAAACTCTTAAAAACTGACGGCCCCAAAGAGCTTTTGTTCATGGAGGTTTTATCTATTGATGTTTGCCATATTAGAAACTGAAAAAAAATGAAAAATAAAAATTTTTACTCATTTAAGAGCACAAACCCATTTCATAAATAAAAAGTATTATTTTAAAAAACCAGCAGGACTTCCCTGGCAGTCCAGTGGTTAAAACTTTGCCTTCCAATGCAGGAGGTGTTTGTTCAATCCTTGGTTGCAAAGCTAAGATCCTACATGCCTTGTGGTCAAAACCAAAACATGAAACAGAAGCAATATTGTAACAAATCCAGTAAAGACTTTAAAAATGGTCCACATAAAAAAAAACTTTGGGAAAAAAATAGCAGGAGATTTTTGCACCTGCCTTTAATGCCTAACTTCTGAGGATACCTGGATTCTCACATGGGTCTCTGAATTCAGTCTGCTGGTAGCTTTTGGCTGAAGTGTATGAGGAGGGCCTGGCCTCACACAGACTCAGGCTGAAAAAGGGAGGTGAATTTTAAGTCTTTTCAGACAGCTGTGGTTGTTCTTCTTTGACAAGTGGTAGTTTCTTAAAGGTGAACTACATAGTGGAATCTTTCTATTCTTGCTATTATGTTAAAACCCACGGTTCTGCCCTGCTCCGTGAATGGACCTCTGACCCATGCGTGACCTGGTAACACCACGTCCTGTCTCCTGGGAGAGTCCCCAGACACTGATGTTTCCTTGTTCCAGAGCAAATGCTGTGTGTGCTGTCATCACTACCTATTTCATCAGGGAAGTCTAGGCTCAGGGATGCTGTCAGGTGAGCGATGATGAATACAAGTTTCTCAAAGTTCCAGTTTTTCTTAAAAGTTCAAATTGAATCATTGATAACAGTTCTGTCAGTTGTTTTCCTTGAAGGAAGAGACTCGGTTCATTTAATCGAGTGAGCATCTGTGTGCTGGTGTTTAAGCAGAGATGATGGGCCACGAGGAGGGGGGTGGCAGAGGGCAGCGTGGTTGCAGCTGGTGCTCCCCATGAGGTGGCGTCACGCCTGGACAACCAGCACAAGAGACTTTGCCAGCTTCCGGCGGGTGTTGAAGGCTGAGACTAATAAATCAGCACCTCTCCTGTCCTGTGAAGGCCCTTTCTGTACAGCTGTAAACGTGTGGCAGTGAAGGACACACTGGCTATCTGCTCCCGCAGCCTGGTTGGCTAAGGCATAAGGTCAGCACATGGGACGAGGTCAATGACACTGTAGTCTTACAGCACTATTTTTGTTATAAAACCCTGGGTGGGTCTCCAGGGGTCCATAAAGTACACTGTGAGAACAACCCAGCACTTGTGTGTGTTCCTGTGACCCCAGCACCCATGCTACTCCCCATCTGCCTGCCCACCAGCCTCTGTCGCCTGCACTTACAGAGGCACAAGAACCATTAACATCGTTCACATTCCTCCAAAGGAGAATCCTGGAGTGGGAAGCAAGGGAAAAGGTGCAGGAACAGAATGCCAAACTCAGAAGAGAAAGTTTTTTTGTAGGTGAAGAAAAAGCCCTTCTGTTTGGTGTTCAACCATGGAACCAGGGCTCACAACCAGGCTGCCAAGTTCACCTGCCACATCCGTCCTTGTCCAGAAAACAAGGGATAAGATATATTAGTTTGGTTCTTTGCAAGACAGTTTACCACAATATTTCTGTGTTCAGTTCAATCGCTCAGTTGTGTCTCTTTGCAACCCCATGAACCGTAGCACGCCAGGCCTCCCTGTCCATCACCAACTCTCAGAGTCCACCCAAACCCACGTCCATCAAGTCGGTGATGCCATCCAACCATCTCATCCTCTGTTGTCCCCTTCTCCTCCTGCCCTCAATCTTTCCCAGCATCAGGGTCTTTTCAGATGAGTCAGCTCTTCGCATCAGGTGGCGAAAGTATTGGAGTTTCAGCTTCAACACCAGTCCTTCCAATGAACACCCAGGACTGATCTCCTTTAGGATGGACTGGTTGGATCTCCTTGCTGTCCAAGGGACTCTCAAGAGTCTTCTCCAACACCACAGTTCAAAAGCATCAATTCTTCTGTGCTCAGCTTTCTTTAGAGTCCAACTCTCACATCCATACATGACCACTGGAAAAACCACAGCCTTGACTAGACGAACCTTTGTTGACAAAGTAATCTCTCTGCTTCTTAATATGCTGTCTAGGTTGGTCATAACTTTCCTTCCAAGGAGTAAGCGTCTTTTAATTTCATGGCTGCAGTCACCATCTGCAGTGATTCTGGAGCCCAGAAAAATAAAGTCAGCCACTGTTTCTCCATCTATTTGCCATGAAGTGATGGGACCAGATGCCATGATCTTAAGTTTTCTGAATGTTGAGCTTTAAGCCAATTTTTTCACTCTCCTTTTTCACTTTCATCATAGAAAGAACAAAACTGTTTGTCCTGAGTTTTAAAATGAGACATCTTTCAGTGTTTTTCAAAGAACACAGACAAGAAAAGCTGCTAAAGCCACCCCATCCCAGGTGCTGAAGCAGGGCCTGGAGAGCCTACTTCCAGCAGAAACCAGTCCCAGAACATCAGACTCTGCCCCAGGGCTGGACTGGGCCACCCATCAGCACACAGCATGGACCTGAGGCACTTACCTCCTCAGCCACAGAGTCCCTGTAGAACCTCAGGCTTTGATCAGCAAGGACAAACCAGTGCTTCTTCCACTAAAAAAGAAGGAGTAAAGTCAAAACTGAACTCCACACTCCTGCTCCGAGGCACTCCACAGCCAGGGTCCTGGGGGAACACAGACAGTGGGCAGCCCCTCTGGCTGGGACACACATACAGGAGTCTGCTCAGGCCACAGGCAGCCACATGCACATGCCTTCTCCCCAGTGACAAGGCAGTGTGGGCACTCCACCCGCAGGGGTGCCAGGCAGAGGGAAGCCAGGCCCCCCAAGCTCAAGGAGGCAGCCTGTGAGTTGCGGCCACCTGCTGTCTAGCCAGAGGGGCGCCCACCTGCTGCCAGCAGGGGTGACCCAATCACAACCAGCCAGACTTCCCAGTCTTCAGTGTGAGGAACAACAGGGGTGCTGAGTCTGCAGGCAGAGCCGAGGGGGTGGATACGGAGGGGAGAGAGAGAGAAGGAGGGAGGGGAGGGGGGTCCAGGGGTCTCGCAGAGGGACCCAAGGCTCCTCCTGCCTCCCGGGAGGCCTGGTCTCCACCCCAGCAGCCACTAGTGGCTTGCTCTTTCTGCTCAAGCCTGCCAGCTCCTCCCAGGCCTGTGGAGGCATCTCAGCTGCTGCCCACCACCTCACAATCAGGGAGCCTGTTCTTGGGGAACCTGGGCTCTCCGGAAACCTCTGGAGAATGTGGCCAGGAGGGAGGCTCATGTTGAAGGGCATCCTCAGGCCTGAGGCTGATGCTCACCAGGAGCGGGAGAGCAGTCCACATGCTGGCAGCAGGCAGGCTGCCCACCACACCCCCACTTCTGAGGAGACGGGGTCGTGGTCACAGTCCTGGAGGTGGTGGACAAGGGCCAGTGCTCACACACCCACGGGGACAAGGCCAGCTGACCTTGCACCTGCTCCCTGGCGGCTGGGGCCACGGCAGTGCCAGCCACTCACCTGGCCATCCTCATACTGCTTGGTCAGCCAGCCTTTTTTGAAATTCAGCAGGTCGGGCTAAAAGAGAGGAATGAAGAACAGCTCAGAGAAAAGCAGCCTGGTGTCTGGTTCTGTGCAGAGCAGACTGACGAGACAGGCATTTCTCTCCCCATGAGGGGCCCTAGGGAAGGGGCTTTTCCACGTGCCGGATGAGCACATGTGGCTCCTTGCCCTGGCAGGGGCTGCCCAAGCCACTCTCAGGGTGTGCATCTCCAAGGAAGGCAAGGTTGGGTACAGGGCACAGGTGCGGCCCCCTCGGCCCATGAGCAGCACAGCAGGGCCGCCAGGAAGCAGAGAACAATCCAGACAGAGCCACCCGGCATCTCGCGTGGAGGGAAGATGAGCAGTGATGGCTGAGACCAAGAGTCTCATAAAAGCCACGGGAAGACTGATGGCACCTGGTGTGAGCACGACGCAGCAGTGAGCTGCCAGGACCCTCCAGCCACTGACCTGCCAGGATGACCCTGAGCCCCCACTTCCATACAAGCAGAGAGCCAGGACAGCAGGTGCTGATAGCACCTGAGAGCACCCGGAGGGCCCTCGCAGCCCTGGGCCTGGCTGGTGTCTCATGTGTGGGCATGGGCAAGGCCAGGTGAACAGAGATGCAGCACTGCAATGTCCAAGGACCCAAGGAGAGTTAAGAGAACATGTGCTCCAGGGCGGGACACCCATCAGCCATGGGTGCCCTGGAGCCTCTGCTGCAAAGTCTAGACTCTAGGTGAGAGTGCGTGTGCTCTGGCCCAGCTCGGGAGCCGCTGGGGGCCCCACACCTGGAGGGGTGGGACCAGCCCTGGTTCCTCAGGAGGCCAAGGACAAAGGCAAGAGGAACCCATGTGAGCTGCTGTCTTCACTCCTGGGGCTCTGACTTGCCTTTCAGGGCTCCCAAGGGGGCGGTGGTCCTATTAGACCTGCCTGACCACTCCCTACCTCCACCCAATGGCCACAGCTCCCATGCCTGGAGCGAAGGTCAGGCTCCCTCCACGGTAACACCATGAACAAGAGACATGCCCAGCGGGAAGGGGGCTCCTGCCCCCAAGACGTCACAGAGACAAACACTCAAAACGAGAAGAACAGAGGTTCGTGCTGTGGCCCCAACCCCCAGAGCCAAAATTCTGCGGTCCTGGCGGCCTCCTCTGCCAGAGATCTCAGAGCTCAGGATGCCCACATAGCCCAGAGAAGGGGCAGAAACACAGCATCTGCTTCTCACACAGACACGATGGCCCGTGCACAGGGGGCAGCCAGCACAGACACCAGCAGACAGAGCCCCGTGACAAGCAGCAGGGGCGACGTCTCCAGGCCTCAGAGCACAGGCGCCCGGGCTCACCGTCAGGGAGGACTCCGTGGACCTCCTGTCCAGTGACTTGGCTCTTCGGTGTGGAGACAGGGGGGAGGCCGAGGCGTCTGGGAGAGGAGCTTCGCTGGGGAGGTCCTGTGGCAGAGAGCAGTCCCGTCAGCACCAGCCAGTCCCTCGTCCGCTACAGCCGCAGGAGGGCGGGCTTCAGGGACGTGTTGCGGGCAAGAAGCGGGGCTCTGCTGTCTGGTGCCTTGGCACCTCTGCCCCTGGGGACAGGACCTGCGTGGAGATAGGACCCACGCCCAGACTCCTGGTCCTGAGCCTCCCACTGCCTGCTGGGGCTTGAGCCGCTCTGGTGGACAGGGCAGCCTTTTCTTGCAGATGTACCAGCCACTCGGCTCTCCTGGACCCCACTCTCCCTGGGCCTCAGAGGTTCACAGAAGGAAGAAGCTGGGCTCTGTGCAGCAAGTAGGAGAGCCCAGAGAGAACGGGAGGAAGATAGAGGGTGGATTTGCCGGGACCCCAAGAAGTAGGGGCTCTGGAGGGGAGTTTCAGAAGCGGAATCCACCTTGGAGATTCAGCAGAGAGAAACGAGAGCTGTGGCCATGGCCAGAAAAGACAAGAAGGAAGGAGACCAGACGGCCTTAGAGAGGAAGAGAGTGGCTCTAGTTAGGACCTGGGACCCAAGGCGCATGAGAGCAGCTCTGAACAGAGATGGATGGAATTCTGAGAGGAAAATGCAGAAGACGGGCCTCACCCTCAAGAAGTTCACTCAGGGAAGAAGGTGAGAGACGCAAGAAACGACCAGGAAACAAGAGCAGGAAGCTGGGCAGAAGTGCACCCACATGTGAGTGGGCTGTATGGGGGGCAATATGCTGCCGTCCCCATCCTCTGCTCTGCCCCATTATTGCCCAGAGCCCGGACGCTCACCCGCTTCCTAGGAAACGCCCTCTTCTCGCTGCGGCCTTGTCGAGTGTCACTTGAGGCTGAGGGCCCGGCGGACATGTTGGTCTCCATGTGCTCTGCCTTCTCTGTGTCCAGGGCCTCAAACTTCTCTATTACCTGGGACCTCCTGCAAGAGAGGGCACGAGGCCACTGAGGGGGGAGACAGGGTCCCCGGAGCCTGAAGGGACATGGTCTGGAGTCTGAGGGGCTCCTGCAGCCAGCACCCCACGCCGGCTCACCCCAGTTCCTGGGCCACCCTCGTGTGGGGTGCTGGCCACACACACCCCTCGTTCGGCCAGCTCACCTAATGCCCTCACTTCCTCTCCCACCTCCACACGGGGCAGCTCTTGGGACACAGCCCTGCCCTCTGCCTCCCAGCCCCACACCGCAGACGCCGCACGGGCTGCCGTACTGACACACTTGGCCCTCACACGCCAGCGCCCCCTCCGGAGCCACAGACTGGTGGAAGGCAGCCAGCACCTTGGGCGCCCAGGCCTCACCACGTGCCTCAGCAGATCGGATGCAGCCCCCACCCCAGGGCGTCCAAAATTTAGCAAGAAAAAGACCCATGAATTAACATTGTTTCTGCCAACAGTAAAAAGAATCAAAATCCAAATTAAAAACAAAGCAAGTTGATTTCGTGTGAAAGGGCGGGCGGCATCATCAGGCCATCTACGGCTGGAGACGGAGCTGAGATGGGAGCGAAGCAGGCGGAGGAGGGGCGAGTAACGTCACAGCGACACAGCAGGAGGAGTGGAGAGGGGCAAGACCTGGAAGAAAACAAGGCTGGAGAATGAATAAACAGAAAGAACTGCTGGTAAAAATCAAATATGGTAAATCAAAATCATCCCAAGAATTAAAGCAAAAACCCAAGGCGATCACTGAGGAGGGAGACTGTCCTGTCCCCGCGTCATGAACATCCGCCTGGTGGATGCACCCTCGTGAGCTGCCCACGTGTCCCCAGGCCAGAGGCCTGTTCCCCCTGAGACGTCTCACAGGGAGGTGGCTGTCCTTGCACTGGACTAGCAGCAGAGTCAAAGGCAGTAAGTGAAGGGCCGCTGGGCCCAGTAGCCTGAAGCCTAACTTCATGAGGAAGGGGAGGGGAACCCGGAGGCCAGCTCATCCTTGGGAAGGGACCAGCAGAAGGGGCTCTCGGGGGTCCTTCCTCAGGAAGGCGGAACTCCCTGGGACCAGCTCCCTGTGGGGCCATCTCTGCTCCCGTGGAGTCTCCTGCAGGCCAGCAGCAGCTGCAGCGGGGGAGCGAGCGAGCGAGCGAGTGCAGGAAGCCAGGCGGCGTGGGAGCGCCTGGGAACCACGGGAACTCTCGCCGGTGCTTTGGCTGGCTGCGCACCGAGGTGCCTGTCCCAAGTGTCCTGCTAGGTTTAGAGGACAGACCCGCTCACATGTAGAACGAGAGCTCTTTCAACCGACCTCAGGACCAGAAAGCCCCACGATGGCCTCGAGGTGCAGGGGCCAGTGAGTCAGGCCAGTTGCATGCTGCGGGCTGGGCCGGGCACGAGAGGTCAGAAGAGGGAAGAAGTGCCGCCTGCCAGGGGTCTGGGGGAGTCCGCCTCAGGTGACTGACTGTAAAGTGGGGCCTTTTCAGCTCAGGTCCCTGCAGTCCTACAGCTGGGACAGCAAAGGCATCCCGGTGAGCCTGGTCCGGACTCCCAGCCAAGGGGCAGGCGGGACCTTGGCAGCTGGGCCTGGTGTCAGTCACTAGCGGTTCAACCAGCCATCCCTCCACACTTGCTCGGCACAGCTCACCATTTGAGAAACACTGGGGAGGCTCTGGGGCCAGTCCAAAGACTACTTCAGGGGCAGGACTGGTCAGGACACCCACCCTGAGGCCTTTCAGTCAGGCTTCCGGCAGCCGCCCCCTGGGTATGGTGGCTGGTGTCCTGCCCATCTGGGGCTCTGTTCTGCACCACAATACAGGGATCCGGTCTAGCACCAGGAGCGGCTCAGGACCAGAGAGCAGGCCTCAGACAGGACAGCAGCCAGTCAGAGGACACGAGGGCAGTGAGAAGTGATGTGACAGTGTTAGGATGCAGAGGAGAGGGCCCCAGGGGAGCCGCACCAGGCAAAAGCCCCTCCCCATGGTGGCAGAGCAGGCGAAGCAAAGCCCCAGAGGTGCCATCTGTCCCGGCCATAGCCAGGAGGGAACTCCAAGCCAAGCAGGTGTGCTGAATGTTAATTCTTTGGTCCCCGCCAAACCAAGGTGTGGCTGCCTGCTTGGGGGCCTCCAGGACGCAGTGAGAAGCCCCCTTGCCCAGGCCACTGGCCTCCTACATCTAGCCAGTCCCATCACTTACACTCAAGCGCACTAAGGACAGCCTCGGCCTGCCCCAGCTCTGCTGCCCCAGACTGTTCCCGTGAGGAGGGGCTCTGCCCCTGCACCCCGTTTCTGCCCTGTGTATGGAGTGCTCACACACCTCAAGGGGTTCTTAGTAAGCCGGGCAGAGATGCTGTTCGGAGGGCGTGTCCCCCACCCCTCCAGGACTGAGGCATCTTGTTTGTGTCTCTCTTCAAGTGTGTCTTCCAAGTGTTGGAGGGGATGCCTGGGAGGGCAGCGGGGTGGGAAGGAGCAGGGGAGCAAAGCAACCTGGGCTCTGCAAAGGGTCATCCAATGTCTCCACTCACTCTAATTCTAAGCTGGGTGGGGCCAGAGGACACTACACTAACAGTGGGTCTGAATCTCCTCCTTAGAAAACAGCTCTTTGTAAATGAATGAAAACCTCAAAAAATTTTCTCTTCCCGGAGCATGTTACAGGCTCTGGAATCATTTTGGGAGGTCTGAAACCCTGCATGGCCCACTGCACGCCAGGGTGCGAGCCCTGCTGCTGGACAGAGGCTCTGTTTACACGCGGGGCTGGAAGCTTCTACTGGAAGGGGTACTGGGGCACTCTGGTCCAGACCTGGACTTGGGAGGCTTCAGAGACAGAACCACGCTCTTTCCTCGCTCTCCACAAGTGCAGGGCCCTCCCCGCCTCAGACCACAGCTCCACCTGGCCTTGGCCCATCTCCAAATCCATGACAGAATGTCACAAAATGTACAAGTGTGTGAGTGCACATGTGGGTACCTGTGTAAGAGAGCATGTTGAGTGTGCACAGTAGGGGCTGCAGGAGTGGGCAAAGTGTGTGCAAGCCCCTGGCCCTCTAGTCCCCCCGGCCCTTACCTCCGCTCGTTGCCAAACAGACGGGCCACCTCTTCCCTGCCAGGGCTCCGGGCCCGAGTCCTGCGCTCCAGCCGCCTTCTCTCCACCTGGAAGGCTTCTCGGTGGCTGATCCTGATGGCCTTAGGGACGTCGGCCAGGGTGGCATACTGCCTGCTGGCTTTAAAGGCATAGGCACGCCCCAGTCTCTCTGCTCCCCACCCCCCAGCACTGCCGGAGTCCACGTGGGCAGGGGGATGGCTGGCCACATCCAAGGAGTTCAAGGAGCTGCTGCAGACGGTTCGGGCAGGGGGCTGAGGACCTGGGGGAGGAAGGGGATAGCCAGGCTCGCAGGAGGGTGGGCTGGAGTCGCTGTACCTGTTGGTGGGGGCACCCGGGCTGGGCGGGGAGAGCGGTGGGGGCAGCTGCTGCTCCTCGGCCTTAACGTCCTGCTTGGTCTTCTCCAGGGAGAAGTAGCCGCTCTCCACCCGGACTTTGCGGCCACAGTCCACGCGGTCACCACTTGTGGTGCTCTCCTCTGGAAGACGAGGGACAAGAGAGATGCACGGCCTGCTGCCACCTCTGGTTCTATAAACTTTGGAGATGGCGCGCAAGTCCAAGGCCACCCCAGGGCAGAACGCTTTCCCAGGAAAGGAATGGGGCATCCTTACCTGCCTCTCCCTAACGGGTGCCTCTCTACCAGACGGCCAGGGGTCCCTGAGCTCTAGTCTGGGGGCTCGGCTGGGACAACAGGATCCCCAAGAAGGGACATCCCACCAACAACCACTTCCCACTGAACACCAGGGAGGACCCAGGGAATGTGGTTAACACTGCACACTGCACTGCAGGGGGCGTGGTTCAATTCCCTGGCTGGGGAACTGAGATCCCCAGTACCACACAGTCAAGCTGGGAACCGAGTACATCCTGAGCGGCCGTGCAGCCTCTCAGGGTGTTGTTAAGGGCAGGGAGGCACACCTGGGAGGAGCAAGGAAGGGCAAGTCCTGGCTGTGGTGGGCACCCACAGCGGGGGAGTACCGAGCGGCCTTTTGCCCAGAGCCTGAACAAGTGCATCTTGCCTGAGTGAGCACAGTCTCAGCTGCCCATGTGTCTTTAGTGGACAGATGGAAACGGGGAAGCTGGCCTGTCATGCAGAGCCCTCTAGGCCTGGACAACGGAGGCCATGTGCCACCCCGCTCTGCTCAGACAACTACAAGTCCTGGAAGGAGACGTGCGGTCATGCCAGCTGTTCCCCTGCTTCAGCCAGCACCTGGGCAGGGTGCAACAGTGGGAGAAGGACTGGACAGCCCTTGCTGCTGCTCGCAGGACACAGTGGGCTTCAGATAACCAGGCCTTGAACACAGAGCAGCCACAGGAAGCAGAGGCTCCTTTGGACACAGAGCATCCCGATTCTCATGATACCAGGCTGGGGCTCGGGAGCAACTGAAGGCTGGAGGGCCGGCAGACACTCAAGGGCACCCGAGCCCCAGCACCAGCTTGCCCTGTCGGGAGGCCCATCCTAATGCTGGGAAGTGGGGCACCAAGACATGCAGGCACAGTGGCCACCCTGGCTATCACTTACCATCTCTGCCCTCAAGCCCTGGCTCCCTCAGGGTGCTTGACACAGGAGGCTGGCCCTGGCTGGGACTCTGAGCTGGACTCGGGCTGCTCCCATCTGGCTGGTCCTTGGCCCTCATTTCTTCCTGCCAGAGTGTGGACTTGGTGGTGGGGACTTTCTCAGCACTGGGGATGCTGCTGCTGCTGCTGGTGACAGCCATCTTGGCCGGCCCTGGCTCCTGCAGGGGAGAGTGGTGTCCATGCAAGCCTGGAAGCACCCTGCCCAAGCCAGCACACGGGTCTGGGCTGCCCGAGTACCTGGCTACCAAGGTCAGCTGCAGTGTCAGAGGCCCAGATGCCAGAAAGCAAGGTCCAGCACAGCGACGTCCCAGCTGGGCTGGAAGCCTTACCTCTTCTGAAGCCCCAGCCAGCACCCAAAGCCTCTGGGCACGCAGAACAGGAGCCTGGAGCCCAGGTGGGATCCCAAGCTGGAGCTGGTGCTACCCCAAGGGACAGCATTTGTGTACAAGGTACTTAGCCAGAGCATACAGAGAACTGTAACTCCACACTGTAAGCCTGTGGCACCTGCTCATGTCCGAGGCCCAAGCCCCTGCCCACCCAGGCACTGGGATGCCTGCTCCTGACCCACTACCAGCAGGATGGCTCTGGGCACCCCCCAAAGTGAGGCACATCTTGGCGGTCCTTCCCAAAAACAGACTGCCTGCTGGGCTCTGACTAGCACCACACCTTTCCAGTCCTCACCAGCCACCCCAAAAGCTCCTACAAGGAGAGCTCACCTCAGCTGAGAGGAGATGGCAACCCATGCTCACATGACCAATAAGAGGCAGAGTGAGGCTCTGAGCATTTGGCACCCCCAGGGGCCCCTGGGAGAGGAGAAGGGCCCGGGACGGGGGCTGCCTGTTGGGTGGGCACCTGTGTCCACAGTGAGGCCGCCAGCACTTTGCCTAGTTCAGAGCTTCCTCAGTTCCACAAGGGTCTCAGGCCTCCTGGGACAGATGAAGCCAGGATGGCTCTCCCGCAGACCCGGGAACGCCTACCACCCCTTCTGTCACAGTCATCAGTAGCCCTGCCTCCCTGGCTGGTGACTCCTGAGCGCTTTGAGCCACCGTGGAAGAGGTAGAGTCCTGGAAGAACATGGCTTCTGACAGTTCCCCAAGGCTCCAACAGAACCAACTCCAACGACCCCAGGTCACCAGCCCTGCGGCCCCAAGCCTGTGGTCAGCGGCATCCTGGCTCCACACCCAGCAGCCATGCTGCCCTGAACAGAGGTCTCTCTGGGTGCCCTGCTGTGCCCCCACAATAACCTGGGGCCCACACTCTGAGGCCGGGCATGGCTCTGCGGGGCTCAGGGTGGAGCCATGTGAGCATTATCTGGAGACCGTGCTTGGTGAGTCTATCCCCTCCGTGGAGGGGGGCTGGACCAAGGGACACAGAGGCTGCCAACATGGGCTGTGGAGGAAGGGCAGCACTGTGCCCATGAGAGTAGGGCCCTGACACATGTACACATTCCTGATGCTGGGGTGAACCCAGCATTGGGCAGGGTGCTGGTGAGGATCTCCAAGAGGAAATTCCAGGCTTGAGATGTAAGGGTCAGTGACAGGGCTTCTTAGAACCAGGTGGTGCCAGGCCTGCCTCCCGGATCCCTGACCTTCTTAGGACTCAGCCTAGAGGAAAAGGGCCCTGCAGGCACCAAGGTCCATGGTGAGTCTCCTGTGGTAGCTGTGCTGTTCCCTGCCTGTGTGCCCAGCCTCACCCAGTCAGCAGGGGCAGAGGAGCGGGGCAGGAGCTGGTTTCTGGGTAGTCACTTCTCTCCTCCAGAGCACATGGGTAGAAAGGAGACGTGGCAGGGGTGGGGCCAGGGCCACACGGCACCACGCCCATTCCCCACACTGTCACCACTGTGGTGGGGGATGCTGGGACTCACACCAACAGAGCCCTGGTGCCCGTGAGAGGCAGGGGAAAGGCCCAGGGCCCCAAGGTGTCCTCTCTGTGTGGCCAGAACTGCTGCAGGCCTAGGGCTGTCAGTACAATAAAGAAGTTAGCTGAGAGGAAAGAGAAAATGGGACAGGAAGGGAGGCCCAGTCAAGGGGCTTCTGCAGCCTCCACATGCTAAACAGGCCCCTCGTGAGCAGGTTTCCCACAGAAAGCCACCTTTTCTACCCCTGGGGCATGGGACCTGAGCAGAGGGCCAGTAAGGAGGGTTCTGACCCAGAGTGGGCATGGCAGCAGGTCCCAAAGGGTAAAAAAGATGCCTGAGAAGAGGTGGCAGCTCACAGCAAATGTGTGGGCCTGAGGTGGGCCGGACCAGGGCCTGACTGGAGCCTCAATCATGGCAGAGGCCTGGTGTTTTACACATCCCTGAAAAAGACTGAGAAGCAGGGACCAAGAGCCCAAGTGAGTGAGCAGACGGAGGAGCCAGCCTCTCACAGCTCCGCCTAAGGATGTGTGCCCCTAGCCTGCACACCGGGCTGGGTGAACACGCAGTCCCTGGCCTTGCCCAAGTCCCAGCTCTGGGGTCTAGGGAGATGGAGAAGGGAACCCCTGGTCACACCCTGAGTGGATGACCACTCCTCTCTAGGCATCTGGGTACCAGGACGCCCTTCCTCAAATAGCCAGAACAGGAAGAGGTTCCTGGGAGCCCATGCCTGTCAGGCTCCAGCTCTACAGGTCTGGGCCAGCTTGTCTCCCCACTGCCCTGGGCTCTGCTGCAACCCAGCCCCCGGCCAAGGGGGTGTCTGCTCTCCCCCACAGCTCCATTCTCGACCTCCCTCTGGCCTGAGGAGTGCCTGCACACTCCATGGCCCCAACTCCCAGATACCTGAACGCCCTCCATGAAGCAGGACCCTGGGCCCCCTGCCTGCCTCAGTTCCTGGAGGGCAGGGTACAGTAAGGGAACTCCCCCAGCCCCCTGTTAGTCCGACCCAAAACTCTGGGGCCATGAGAAAAAGGCTAGGTTTGGGGTCTTGGGTTCTTCTCTGTATAGGGGCCCCTAAGGCAATCTCAGGTTGCTGAGGGGGCTGGCCCAGAGACCCCCAGCTCTCCTCTGGAAAGGCCACATCCCTCCTCAAGATTGACTCACGGGGACGGTCCCTGATGAAAACTCACGGATGCCAGAAACCCGCAGCCTCCGGCATGATGCTCAGGGAGCCAGAAGCTGAGCAGAGGAGGCTGGGGTCCCCCATGCCCCAGGGGCCAAGATAACCTCTGGCAAGTGAGTGATGTCCCCACTCAGAGTATGAAGTAACACTGAGGGGAGAGGGTGTTCATGGGGCTAGGGACAGCGGAGAAGACCCTCTAGTCTGGCTGGAGTGTCTCCTGCTGTGCAGCTGCCCAATTAAGAGGGAGGAGTTCTGCCCAATCTGCTTCTGAGGCATCGCTGCGGAAACCCATGCAACACTAAACACTGTGATCCCACCTGGGGTTCTCTCAAAGAAGTTTTGGGGGGATTTCCTGTGTCTGCTGTTTCCCAGCAGGAAGCTCCACTTTGTGTTTCCGTGAATGACTGTGATTGCATTTTGCCCACTTCCTGCCAGGGACACTACCTTCCAAGAGGGTGTTAGCCTGGGTTCCCCTCAGGGTGGGTGGGCAGAGAGCAGACAAGGACCGTTGGCTGAGAGCAGGCCAGGGAAGTCTGAGGGGCATGCAGGGAGGGGCACCCTGGCCAGGCACACCACCCTGTCCTGCCCAGACTGCCCTTCAGGGAAGCCCAGAGGAGCCAGCAGGGAGTGCTGAGCCCAGGGGTTGCCAGGTTCTCCACGGGAATGCTGTCAGGCTCTCGGGCATTTGAGACGCCAACAGGCCGCGGGTTTGCATCCTATTCCCTCACAAAGGTGTGGAGGGGCTTAGGCAGGCAAGGCAAGTGCGCTGAGTCACAGGGAAATGTGGGGCAGAGGGTGCACATTCAGTCTATCGACCGTTTGAATGAGTAGGGTTGGGGCGCTGACCCTCCAAGCAGTCAGATATCCAGCACAACTTAGGTTGGCCCACTGTACCCACAGTTCCACATCCATGAATTCAACCAATTGAGGACTGTGCAGTCCTGTGGGATTTACTATTGAAAACAATCCACACAAAGGACTCCCAGAGTGCAAACTTGTGTAGCTCCAGGGTCACTGTACTGAGCACCCAGAAGGGGCCTGGCACTTTTGCCACTGCTCATAGCAATCTGAGAACTTGATTTCAACAGGTCTGTTTCACAAATCAGTCCACTGAGGCCCTGAGCCCTTCTGGTGCCGAGTCCCTGCAGACCAGCCAGGGAGGGAAGCCCTGGACCCGGGGACTGCCCCAGCCACCTCCCACTCTGGCCTCATGGGAGCTGGTAGGAGCACAGAATCAAGGCTGTGCCAGTGCTTTCCATTTATGGTTCCCCTGAGAGCCCTTCACGGCCAGGCACTGCAGGACCACTCCTCCTGGCCCTCTGCCCAGCCTGCTGTCTGCAGAATTGTCTGTGTGGAAGGTGGAGCTGAACTGAGCCTCTCCTCCCAGCATGCTCTTGGCTCCCAGCAATTGGCAGGATGGTCGGGGAGGGATGGGCACTGTGCAGTGACGCCTCTGGGGGCAGCCCCACAGCAGGCCACCCTTTCCAACTGGGGGTCCTGCCCTGAGGCTTGCAGAGGAGTGTGCAGAAGGCAGCCCACAGACTCGGAGAAGGAAGGCGAAGACCCCTGGGCTGAGGGCTACCTCAGCCCTGGCATCACCCCTTCCTTCCCTTGCCCCCAATTCTAGGTTGGGTCCTGAATCCCCCAATCTCCCAGGGTGCTTTTTCTTTGCCCCAGCTCCACCGAGGGGATGCCTCACCTGTGGTGTGGGGGGCTCCACCTTCCGCTTCTTCTTCTGGTTCTGCTTGTTGGTCCTGGGATAGACTGTGAGCATCTCCAGCCATCTGGGAGACAGGAGGGTATGGCACCAGTCAGACCAGAGCTGCCACTCCAGGACAGGAAGTGCCAGCAGCACAGCTGGGACACGGACAGGCTGACCGCTGGCCTGGTGAAGACTTGGCATTGTTTTTGTTACCAGCCTTCCTCTGGGGCTGAGACTCCACTCTAAAATCGCCCTCCTGGAGTGTGGTTGGCCAGCATAGACACGCTGCGACTGGGAAGCCCCGAGGGCCACTGGGGCAAGAACCTAGGAGTCATTGCCAAACTTTCCCACAGTGGTCACTTCTGGGCACTGTGCAGCTGACCTCCCACACTCTGGAGGGCTCACCTCTGGGCCCCAGCTGTACAGTGAGGGTGCCCTTGGGGGCACCTCGGGATCATCTTTGGGGAAGGCCTAGCGGAACAGCCCAGGGACCAACGCCAGGGCCCACACTGGAAGGTCTACTCTGGACCAGCAGCAGGGAAGGCAGGGAGGGGCATGGACTCAGATCTGGCTCTGCTCCCCTCAAACCAAAGACCCAGGCAGCTCCCAGCCCTCAGAACCTTGGCCTCTCATCTCTGGAACCGGGGGGACCCTGCTTGCCTCTCTGGAGCTCTGTAGTACCTGGGAAGGTCGGAGCAAGGGGAAGGAGAAGGTGTGGTGGGAGGACGTGTGGCGCGGGGGAAGGGTAGTGCTCTCTCCACAGGGGACAGTACTGCAGGGGACGCTGGGCCAACTCTGCCCAGACAAAAGGGTCTGTGTGGGCCTGCGGCCAACCTGTGACAACAGCCTGGCAGCAATGGCTGAACTGCTAAGGGAGGCAGGGTCTGAACTGCCAGCATACTGGCTGAGGCAGCAGTAAAGACCAGCACCCCAGACGCAGGGCAGGCAGAAGGGCTTGTCTTTAGTTCTCAGAGATGCTCCTTTAATATGTTTGTCTGTGGGGTGCCGCTGGAGCGGCGGTGCTGCTGGCAGCTGGGAGAGGGGTTGCATGTGGAGTGCACCCTTCCAGCAGTGGAGCTGAGGCCCAGTCAGGTGAGAGCAGGGGTTCTTGGCCTGAGAGCAAGGGAGCGAGTGCCCTGCATGAGGAGATCTGAGCACAGGCTCCAAGGGCTTATCCGTGTACCCTTAGGAGTTCGACTGCTCGTGGGTTAACAGACTTGCTTTCTAGCCTGCCAAAGGGAACAAATTTCCTTTGCAAAGTTCACAATAAGGACCCTGCCTGCAGAGGGCCCCTCTCCAGGATCTACCTGGGAGGGGAAAAGAGACAGCTTGTGAAGTCACGTCATCCTCCAGGGCCTGGGAACAGCGCTGCGGCAGGCATGTGCAAAGCAGTCAGGGAGCCCTGAGCCCATGAACAGTGGTCCTGTCGCTCTTGACTAGTAACACTGCCAAGCTGGGCAAACCTGTGCGCCTCACATGATAGGGCCTTGAGGGGAAAGGAGAGAAGACCTGCACCACCGCCACACAGCTGACTGGACAGAGCTCCTGAAGCCCCTGCCAAGTGCCAGATGGAGGTCCCGTCAGAGGCCAGACCATGCGGTGCTGACCTGGGCCCCAGCTCCCATACTCCTAGTGCCCTGGGACCTCAGACACCCTTCCTGTCCTACGTCACCCAGGCCCCTCCCAACTCGGGGGTGTGTGTCTGTGTGTGTGATGCCTAGATCTCCTTGAAGAGTCTGGTTGGGCAGTGGAACCTCAGCCAAGAGTGTCTGCCAGACAGGCCATGGCAGCAGGTGTGAACCACGACCCGCGACTGGCTCTGTTGCCCCTTGTGCCTGGGGAGATCAGGTTCCCTTCATCTCTGGCCTTCCGTCTCCAGCTGCAGAACCACTGACCCTGGAGGGGGGAATGGCAAACCATGTCAGCATTCTTGCCACGAGAACCACATGAACAGTATGAAAAGGCAAAAAGATATGACAACGAAAGATGAATTCCCCAGGTCAGAAGGTGCCCAATATGCTTCTGAAGAGGAGAGAAATAGCTCCAGAAGGAATGAAAAGGCTACGCCAAAGCGGAAACAGCACCCAGTTGTGGATGTGTCTGGTGGTGAAAGTAAAGTCCGATGTTGTAAAGAACAATACTGTGTAGGAACCTGGAATGTTAGGTCCATGAATCAAGGTAAATTGGAAGTGGTCAAACAGGAGATGGCAAGAGTGAACACCGACATCTTAGGAATCAGTGAACTAAAATGGACAGCAATGGGCAAATTTACTTCAGATGACCATTATATCTATTACTGTGGGCAAGAATCCCTTAGAAGAAAAGGACTAGCCTTCAGAGTCAACAAGAGAATCTGAAATGCAGTATGTTGGTGCAATCTCAAAAATGACAGAATGATCTCGATTCATTTCCAAGGCAAACCATTCAACATCTCATAGTAATCCAAGTATATGCCCCAACCAGTAATGCTGAAGAAGCTGATGTTAAACAGTTATATGAAGACCCAGAAGATCTTCTAGAACTAACACCAAAAAAAGATGTCCTTTTCATCATAGGGGACTAGAATGCAAAAATATGAAATCAAGAGACACCTGGAGTAAAAGCCAAGTTTGACCTTGGAGTACAAAATGAAGCAGGGCAAAGGCTAACAGCATTTTGCCAAGAGAACGCACTGGTCATAGCAAACACCTTCTTCCAATAACACACAAGACAACTCTATGCACGGACATCATCAGATGGTCAACACCGAAATCAGACTGATTATATTCTTTGCAGACAAAGATGGAGAAGCTCTATACAGTCAGCAAAAACAAGACTGGGAGCTGACTGTGGCTCAGATCATGAACTCCCTATTGCAAAATTTAGACTTAAATTGAACAAAGTAGGGAAAACCTACAAAGTAGGAAAAACTACAGCATACAGGTATGACCTAAATCAAATCCCTTATGATTATACAGTGTAAGTGACAAACAGATTCACGGGATTAGATCGGATAGACAGTGTGTCTGAAGAACTATGGACAGAGGTTCGTAACACTGTAGTGATCAAAACCATCTCTAAGAAAAAGAAATGCAAAAAGGGAAAATGGTTCTCTGAGGAGGGCTTAAAAATAGCCAAGAAAAGAAGAGAAGTGAAAGGCAAAGAAGAAAAGGAAAAATATACCTATCTGAATGCAGAGTTCCAAACAATAGTAAGGAGAGAGAAGAAAGCCTTCCTAAGTGAATAATGCAAAGAAATAGAGGAAAACAACAGAACGGGAAAGACTAGAGACTTCTCCAAAAAAATCAGATACCAAGGGAACATTTCATGCAAAGATAAGCACAATAAAGGACAAAAATGGAATGAATCTAACAGAAACAAAAGATATCAAGAAGAGGTGGCAAGAATACGCGAAAAGTCAAAGTGTTAGTCGCCTGGTCATGTCCAACTCTTTCAGACTCCATGAATTGTAGCCTGCCAGGCTCCACTGTCCATGGGCTTCTCCAGGCAAGAATACTGGAGGGGGTTGCTGTTCCCTCTTCCAGGGGATCTTCCTGACCCAGGGATTGAATCCACGTCTCTTACGTCTCCTGCACTGGCAAGCATGTTCTTTACCACGGGCACCACCTGGGAAGCCGAGAATACACAGAAGAACTATTACAAAAAAGATCTTAATGACCCAGATAACCGCAGGGTGTGATCACTCACCTAGAGCCAGACATCCTGGAGTGTGAAGTCAAGTGGACCTTAGGAAGCATCACTACAAACAAAGCTAGTGGAGGTGATGGAATTCCAGCTGAACTATTTCAAATCCTAAAAGATGATGCAGTGAAAGTGCTGCACTCAATATGCCAACAAATTTGGAAAACTCAGCAGTGGCCACAGGACTGGGAAAAGTCAGTTTTCATCCCAATACCAAAGATAGGCAATGCCAAAGAATGTTCAAACTACTGCACAATTGCACTCATTTCACATGCTAGCAAGGTCATGCTCAAAATTCTTCAAGCTAGGCTTTAACAGTATGTGAACCGAAAAATTCCAGATGTACAAGCTGGATTTAGAAAAGGCAGAGGAACCAGAGATCAAATTACCATCCGTTGGATCACAAAAAAGGCAAGAGAGTTCCAGAAGAACATCTACTTCTGCTTTACTGACTTCACCAAAGCCTTTGTCTGTGTGGATCACAACAAAGTGTGGGATATTCTTAATGAAATGAGAATCCCAGACCACATTACCTACCTCCTGAGAAACCTGTATTCAGGACAAGAAGCAACAGTTGGAACTGGACATGGTACAAGACTGGTTCCAAATCGGGAAAGGAGTGTGTCAAGGCTATATATTGTCACCCTGCTTATTTAACTTATATGCAGAGTACATAATGTGAAATGCCATACTGGATGAAGCATAAGCTGGAATCAAGACTGTTGGGAGAAATATCAACAATCTCAGATATGCAGGTGACACCACCCTTATGGCAGAAAGCGAAGAGGAACTAAAGAGCCTCTGGAGGAAGGTGAAAGAGTGAAAAATCTGGCTTAAAACAACATTCAAAACACTAAGATCAGGGCATCTGGTCCCATCACTTCATAGCAAATAGACAGGGGAACAATGGAAACAGTGACAGACTTTATTTTCTTTGGCTCCAAAATCCCTGAGGACAATGACTGCAGCCATGAAATTAAAAGATGCTTGCTCCTTGGAAGAAAAGCTATGACCAACCTAGACAGCATATTAAAAAGCAGAGATATTACTCTGCCAACAAACATCCGTATAGTCAGAGCTACGGTTTTTCCAGTAGTCATGTATGGATATGAGAGTTGGACGATAAAGAAGGCTGAGCACTGAAAAATGAATGCTTTCAAACTGTGGTGTTGGTGAAGATTCTTGAGAGTCCCTTGGACTGCAAGGAGATCAAACCAGTCAACCCTAAAGGAAATCAGTCCTGAATATTCATTGGAAGGACTGATGCTGAAGCTGAAACTCCAATACTCTGGCCACCTGATGCGAAGAACTGACTCATTGGAAAAGACTCTGATGCTGAGAAAGATTGAAGGTGGGAGAAGGGGACGACAGAGGATGAGATGGTTGGATAGCATCACCGACTCAATGGACATGAGTTTGAGAATGGACATGAGTTTGAGTAGGCTGCAGGAGTTGGTGATGGACAGGGAAGCCTGGTGTGCTGCAGACCATGGGGCCTAAAGAGTCGGACATGACTGAGAGAATGAACAACGAAAATGCTTTACGCTCTTAAAATCCATAACATTCTAAGAGGAGGATTAAGGAGAGGCAGTGAAACTGGTCCTCCTGTCTGCCCCTGGTGTTAGAAATGAAATCCTGCCTTTCCCCATGGGAGGATGACTAGCAGGGAGTTGGCACCCCAGGAAGAAGCCACCCACCCCTCAGCAGCATGGGCCTGGCCCCCGCTCCACACCCACCTCAGTGAAAACAAGATCTCACTTCCTCCCACGGCCGCCTTGGCCAGCTGCAGCTGATAGGGCCCCAAAGCCCAGCCCATCACTCAGCCACCTCCGTTTCCCGAACGCAAGGTGCCTGACATCCTAATTCCTTCTCCTCCTTGCGCAGTAATCAGCCCAGCCCCTCAACCCCGAGATTCATTTTTTCCTGTGCACCTTAGAGAATGACAAGTTTCTCCATGATCCAGTGCCCGAGCTCCTGGCTGGGCCAGGGGAACCTGCTCACCATCACGCACCATGTCACTTACCTGTGCAGCTGCGTGCACAGAAGAGCAGGGCCCCCAGGAGGCAGAGGTGACAGAGCTCAGAGCACGAAGCTCAGCCCCCTGCGCTGGCGGCTGCCTGGAAATCTGGGTCCCTCTACTTTCCAGGGCTTCTCCCAGCCTCCACCCAGGGCATGCTGGGCATGGGGGGTGGACTAGCCCAGAACTCTGTTCTGTCCATGCAGACAAGAAAAGCAGTGCGTGTGGTCACCCTGTGGTGACTCCTGAGTGCAGACATGGGGGTCATGAGGGAGATATGGCCTCTATTCCAGGGCTGACCGCTGGCTGAAGAGAATACATTTGGGCAAACCCCAGCCTTCATAAGCGCCAGCTGACAAGAGCCACACGCCTCACTGGGGAAGGCTTCCTGGAGGCTTCACAGCCTGGAGGATGGAAGGGAAGGCAGGGGAGAGGCAGCAGGAGACGTGCGTGACAAACAGCTCAGCGCTGCAGTGCATGGGGCTGTGGGTAGGGGGCTGGGAAGGGCCCCAGGGCCTTTCAGGCAGGAGGGGGTGAGGCTGGATGAGCTCTAGAGACCAAGCCCCTCGTGGCTGACTGAGACGAGGCCAGAGTGAAGTGAGGATGGAACAGAAGACCAGAGAGAGGCCTGGAAGATGTGCTGACACCAGGAGAGGGAGGCGGCAGGGGCAGCTGGGCAACTGTGGGCGGGGATGAAGCAAAGGTGGGTGGAGAGAGGGACTCAGCAGACACAAGGCACAGACAGTTCGAGGACCCCTGGCAGGTGGGGCACGTTGTCTCAACACACATGTAGCAAACTCACCCACTGATGATCTCCTTGGTCTCAGCCCGGATGAAGTGCTCCTTCTCAGGGGTCAGAATGCACAGGGAGAACTTCTGGCCTGTCCGGCCCTCCCCATCCACCACGTCCGTGCACTGGTTCATGTTGATGGTGCCCTGTGGGAGGGTTGTGGGCTGCAAGAGGAAGACATGGCAGGAGTCACCCTGGGGGCAGAGGGAACGTCCCTGTCTCCCCAGGTCCTTCCGGACCCTCCTGGCTTCTCCACCATCACTGGGGCCTCACAGCTGTGCAGAGCCCCCTGCCATGCAGAGCATGGGGGTGGGCTGCCTCAGTCTGGCCCTCACAGCCCCGCACCCCCCTGACCCACCCTGGAGGGGAGCGGTGACAGGTCTGCTCTTCTCAGAGGACAACCAGCTGCATGTTCCTTCCCACTACAGATCAGCCCACGAGTGCTGGGGGCGGGTGGGGGCTGTGTGTCGGGGGAACAGGCAGCAGATACCTGTCTTGAGGACAGCTGGGGCGACGGAGGCAGCCAGGAGCCTGGTCACAGAGGGTGGCTGATCCAGAAAACAGTGAGAAAAGCTACAGAAGGTAGTTTTGAAATTGCAAGGCTATTTTTAAAGGCTAGGAGGGGCCAGAGAGAAGCACATCTTGCAGGGAGACTGTGGGGCAGGCAGACCAGAGCCTCCCACCTGGGGTCGTCAGAGGCGGGCCTCCTTCAGGGCTGCCCGGGCAGGGCTGGGACAAATTATAGCACTTCCCCCCTTTTCTCAGTCAAAGCTGCGAGACACAGACATTAGGGAGAGAAATCCAAAAACAAGATACTGAGTGGATGAGTGAGGACCCTCCTGGAATGGAAGGAGGATTTGGGGAAGGAGGCAGGGGGCTGTGGTGGCCACCACACCAGGCGCGAAGACTCCATGAAGGGAGGGGAGACCAAGCTCCAACTCCCACCCCACCTCCACAAGGAGCCCATCCCAAGGGCCCAGCACTTCCAGGCTGGTCCTGGAGAAGCAGCAGGGGCAGAAAAGGCCCACAGTGGTGGCTGGGCTCCCTTCCTCCCACCAGCCAGTCCCCTGCTGCAACACAGAGGAAGGGGACCTGGTCTGAAGATGAGACGCCGAGCTCTGCTGACCCACTGCCAGCCAACTCCCTTTTTGTCCCGAGGCCCTACCCAGAAGCCAGACCCCAGAGGTGGTGGCTTTCCAGAGCCCTCGCCCTGACACAGCTGCCAGCTCGCTGGGTCACTGCAGGGCAGGAAGTAAGTTCCCCACTCCAAGAAGCCTCTCTGTGGGGCCTCTGGGACCCGCCCATCCTCCTGGGGCCCAGCTCAGGATGGAGGCGGCAGGGCAGGAGGGCAGCCGTGCACCCACAGAAGAGCATACACCCTCACTGGGTCTTCAGTGTGTCCTATCTCAGAAGTGCCCCCAGGTGGGCATGAGAGAGGGGGCCACACCCACGCCAAGCTGAGAGCTTCCGGAGTGAAGTAAAACCTTGTAGCACCTCTCCTGGAGGCTTCTGGCCAGCCCTTAAGCTGGAGAAGGGAGCCTGGTGGGTGGTCCTCAACCAAGTAGCTGATGAGGGAGGTGGCCCAGGTCCCCCACATGCCTCGGGATAAGCGCTGTCTTCCCACCTTCCTGCTTCAGCTTCAGGCCCTGCTTCCTTCCCCCACATCATGCCAGTGCCCAGCAGAACCCTCCCTGGGTGGTGGCCTCTGCCCTCTCCAAAGGCAGACCCCCTCAGGCAGGACACTTGATCCCCACCGGCCCCGACAAAACACACGGCCTCTCTGAGGCAGGGCTGCAGGAAGGACCAGGGCGCCATGTGGAGCGCGGCTCCAGCGCTAGAGCAGGCAGGCCCGGTGCTCTGCTCTGCTGTCCTCCCTTGTCCCTCATGCTGCCAGGGCAGATGCCCAGCCCTGCTGAGTCACCCTGAGTCACACACACAACACACACAGGTAAGTTCTGCGGGGGCCATAAAGTACGTCATCACAAGTTCCAGCGTTTTCTCCTCACTGGACCACCCAGAGAGCCCCGGGCGACACGTGCTACTTTTCAGAGGCCACTGCTCCAGGGTTCGGGGCCGGAACTGCACCCTGGTGCCTCTGCACAGCGAGTATTTACCTGGTGAGGCTCCCTGCTGGCCCGCAGCTCCATATGGTCATGGGACTCAGGCACCAACTGTACCCTGAGGCTTTCAGCAACCTCTCCATGATAAGAAGGTGCTACCTCCTCCACAAAGTTTGCAGAAGGGCCACGAAAGGCAGAGACATGACAGGTGAGGGCTGAAGGGCACAAGCGTCTCTCTACCACCTCTAAGCCAGGATCACCCAGTTACAGTCTCTCATCCTTCCTTAAATATGACCTCCCATGAGGCAGGCGTGACCTCATCCTGTCACGCACAAGAGAAAGGAAACCTGGGAAACCTGTCCAAGCTCACAGGGGCCAGCCCTTCTGGTCTCAACAGGGCCCCCCACCCCCCGCCCGGGAAGCAGCAGCACAGGAACACCCACATGGGCCCCTGCCCTGCTAAACTTCAACGTGCCTCCCATACAGTACAGACTATAACCCAGTACAACACGATGGGTCTGTGGCTCAAGCTGTCCTGGCCTTGACCACGTGGCCTACCAGCATGCACACGTCCCACTATTTGTAAAGCAAGGTGCCCCAGGCTCAGCTTGTATGTACCTACCCTGATCCTAGAATGGGCCATTTCTCCAAGGATCCCTGGTTCCTTTCACTGAAGAACAGAATTAGAAATCAATACTGAGGAACTAGGTATGCTCATTGCTTTTGGGGTGTTGCTGCCTCCAGGCCTTCTCAGATGACAGACAAGGAAACACAGGTGCGTATAACCTGTGCAATCACGTCTGCATTTACCTTCCCCTCCCTACATGCCCCCCCCCCCCATTCCTATCTATCAATTGCGGGATCTGTCTCTCCTGTGTGTCTCAAGCTAAACACACTGGTGTCCTCCACTTGAATCCAAGACCATGTGCATCATTCCAGCCTCTCCCTTTGCTTGCCTGGGCCCTAGCACACCCAAGTGGCCCAGACTGTGAACCAGTGCTCCACGGGCAGCTTCACCACCGCACACAAGGCACCCAGCATGATCCCTTCTCCTTCAGTTGTACAGATTCCACGCATGTCCAAGGGCACATACCACCTTACACACTCCCACCTGGACTCTGCAGGAAAGTCCTGGAGAAGAATGCATCACAGCTCCTTGTATATCTGAGAGCCCTCTGGCTCTCAGATACTAGTTCTACCCTTCCTGCCTTTCTTCCAGGGCATGCTGGCTAAAGAGGGAGGGACGGAGGACACAGAGGGGAAAGGCCAGGGGCTCAAGGCACCTCCCAGCAGAAGCCATTCTTCCAGCCGAGACGGAGAACGGGGCTGCTCACAGAGGGTGGGGGCGGGGGGCACCGGCACACAGGCAGCAGGGCCTGCTGTGGAGACGCACACCCCAGCTCTGGTCTGCAGGGTGCCATGCCCGGGAGGAAGGCAGTGCTCGTCTCCTGCCCAGCGGCTCCAGGCAGATTGGGAGAGAACACACCGTCGTCTGCTATGGGTGGGCTGGAAGCCACGCAGCTGCTGGGGCCATGGCACTCAGCAAGCCCTCCTGCAGGGCCCCCTGCTCACCCTGGTGCTGAAAGACCCCAATACTGAGGTCTGAAGCAGCCAGAAGAGACTCTTGGGGACCAGGAACCACCAGAGAGACTGGAGAGAAGGCGAGAGGTCCTAAACTGTAAGGTCTGAGTGCTTAACGCAATGGTTTTCAACTTTTGCTGAATAATGGAATGACCTGGAAAGATAACTAAATGGAGGTTCCATGCCCAGATTTAAACTCTCTGGGAGTGGGGCCTGGGCATCAGAATTACCGAAAAGCCCCTTCATGCTTCTAACACCGAGGCTGCCTGGAGAGGAGACGGGTCTGCTCACTGCCACAGCAGGCCCAGCACCGCGGGCTGGCTGGCCCAGGCCCTGGCCAGCTGCACTAGGTCACTAGGCAGCTTGTGGCTGGGCCAAAGAGGACCTGATGAAAGCATAACAGAGGGGAGAGGAGAGAGAAAACACAGCTGTTGCGGGCCCGCTGAGGGTGAGGGCCAGCGGGGTTCACAAGAGAGGGGGCACTACTGGAGAGGTGGTATTATCAGGCTCGGGTTAGCACCCCCAAGGCCCTGCCAGCCACAGTGAGAAAGAAAACAAAACCTCAGGCAGCCTGAGGGGAGGAGGAGGGACACGGGTCTTCTCCTCGGGTGACTCTGTGAGGCCCTCAACCAACTGGGAAGGTGAAGACCACACCAGGAAACCCTATCACCCACGGGAAGGTGAGGGCCATGGCGGGGCTGCCACACTTCCTGTGATGAGAGGACAGTCCCTGTCCCCAGCGGGGCTCAGGTGACCGCACACAGGCACAGGCTCCCGCCTCCACTACCCCGGCCCTGAGCGCCGGGTCTAGCTCCTCCGGCTCCTAGCCAGTGTGAGCGTCCGGCTGGAACACAGAATGGGGGGAGCTTGTTGCCACACAGAGAATGCAGGCAGGTCACATGAGCACACACACACCCCCATCCTGTCAACCATGCCGTTGAGCCTTGAAACCAAGTGGGGCTGGTGCTACTACTGAATATGGCTAGACAGGACCCACACAAGGTGCGTGCCCAAAAGACTTCAAATGGCCTTTTTATGGAGAAATTCTCTGATTTATTCCAAGAATCCACATAATTGAGCAACTCTGCTCTGAGCTCACACCACATCAGGAGTCACTGGGCCTCCCCTGCTATCCAAATTTTAGAACACAGGGGAGCAGAGCAGTAACAAGAGTGTCCGGCAGGGGACTCCCAGCCTGGACATAGGCCAGGCACAGTCACAGCCCCCCAGCCCTCCCCATGCCCCTCAGGGACCCCAGGCTCCAGGGACACTCAGGTGCCCATAGGCATCCACCTGCAGCAAGAGTGCGCGTCCAGGGCACACATGCTGTGAGCCCGGGGCTGACATCCCCAACCTGTCTCAGGACAGGCCTGTGCCCAAATGCCATGGTGCTGAGCAAAGCATCCCGCCCTCCCGTCTCTGACCCACAAAACCCAACTGCAGGGCTGAAACCCCATCCCGTGCAGGCTCCTAGGCTCCTTCCCAGGGATCCGTGGGGCTCATCAGCAGGAGGGTTGGAGCCT